GAGGGTGGTGGGGGCTCTTCATTCTCGTTCACTTTTTTCTCTGTCTTCTCTTTATTCTTTCCCTTTCTGTTTTTCTTCCTCTTTCTCATTCTTTCACTTTCTTTTTCTTTCTTTCTCTTCCTTTCTATTTTTTTTCTCCTCTTTCTCCTTTTTCTCTCTTTGTTGTTCTTTATTTCTTTTTTTTTCTCTTTCCCTCCCTTTCTCTTTTTTCTTCTCTCTTCTCTCCCTTCTCCTTTCCCTTTTTTCTCATTTTTTCTTTTTTTCTCTCTTCTTTCCCTTTCTTTTACACTTCCTTTTTTGCTTTCACTTTCTCTTCCTTCTTTCTTCTTTTTTTCTTTCTCCTTCTCACCTCTCCTCCTGTCTTCTCTCTTCTCTCTCTTTCCTCTTCTCTCTCTTTTCTTCTTTCTCCTCCTCTTCTCTCTCTTGCTTTTCTTCTTTCTCCTCCAGTATTTCAATTTCTTCTCATATGCACGCAGGGGGGCCTTCACTCTGCTGAACACCACCACTCCCCTTCCCTTCCCTTCCCTTCCCTTCCCTTCCCTTCCCTTCCCTTCCCTTCCCTTCCCTTCCCTTCCCTTCCCTTCCCTTCCCTTCCCTTCCCTTCCCTTCCCTCCCCTCCCCTCCCCTCCCCTCCCCTCCCCTCCCCTCCCCTCCCCTCCCCTCCCCTCCCCTCCCCTCCCCTCCCCTCCCCTCCCCTCCCCTCCCCTCCCCTCCCCTCCCCTCCCCTCCCCTCCCCTCCCCTCCCCTCCCCTCCCCTCCTTCGTAATGCTCTGATTGGTCATCCGAACCTGTGTTGGGGGCTATTCTATTTGCTTCGATTCTATTCTATTGTTAGTGACTGACCGAATTGGTGTGCGAGCATACTCTATTCTATTCTATTCTATTCTATCCTATTCTATCCTATTCTATTCTATTCCATTCTATTCTATCTGTTAGTGACTGACCAGATCGGTGTTCGTAACGAAGCCCATTCAATTCTACTCTATTCTATTCTATTCTATGCGATTCTATACTAGTCTATTCTATCATACTCTCTGTTAGTGGCCGCCCGAATCGGTGTTCGACCGAACCCTATTCTACTCGATCCTACTCGATCCTATTCTATTCTATTCTATTCTATTCTATTCTATTCTATTCTATGTTAGTGACCGACTCGGTGCTCGGGTAGACTTCTAGTCTATTCTATTCTAGTCTATTCTATGTCAGTGACTGAGCAAAATGGTGCTTGAGTCTATTCTATTCTATTCTACTCTCTGCTAGAGCCTGACCAGACCGGTGTCTGGACAGACGTCATTCTATTCTATTCTATTCTATTCTATTCTATTCTATTCTATTCTATTCTATTCTATTCTATTCTAGTGACTGGCTCGGCAACCAGGCGGAATCTATTCTATTCTATTCTATTCTATTCTATTCTATTCATGTCAGTGGCTGAACAAATTGGTGTTCGAATGTATTCTAGTCTATTCTAGTCTATTCTATTCCATGTTGATGTCTGACCGGATGATCGGTGTCCAGGCAGACTCTATTCTATTCTATTCTGTTCTATTCTATTCTATTCTGTTCTATTCTATTCTATTCTATTCTATGTTAGTGACCGACTCGGTGCTCGGGTAGACTTCTAGTCTATTCTATTCTAGTCTATTCTAGTCTATTCTATGTCAGTGACTGAGCAAAATGGTGCTTGAGTCTATTCTATTCTATTCTACTCTCTGCTAGAGCCTGACCAGACCGGTGTCCGGACAGACGTCATTCTATTCTATTCTATTCTATTCTATTCTATTCTATTCTATTCTATTCTATTCTATTCTATTGACTGGCTCGGCAACCAGGCGGAGTCTATTCTATTCTATTCCAGTCTATTCTATTCTATTCTATTCTATATGTCAGTGGCTGAACAAATTGGTGTTCGAATGTATTCTAGTCTATTCTAGTCTATTCTATTCCATGTTGATGTCTGACCGGATCGGTGTCCAGGCAGACTCGATTCTATTCTATTCTATTCTATTCTATTCTATTATATTCTATTCTATTCTATTCCAGTGTCTGGTTCGGAGGCCAGACGGACATTCTATTCTATTCTATTCTATTCTATTCTATTCTATGTTGGTGGTTGACCGGATCGGTGTCCAGGCAGACCCTAGTCTACTCTGCTCTTATTCTATTCTATTCTATTCTATTCTATTCTATTCTATTCTATTCTCTTTGTTCGCGTGGGAGATCGCACGCATTTTGATGACAGTCTATTCTATTCCATTATGTTAACAAGAAGTGCTGTGGTGTTATTCTAGTCTATTCTGCATTGAGGGTCCAGAGAAGACACGGAGTCACAAACTTCTTATTCTGGTCTATTCTAGTATATGCCATTCTATTTTAGTCTACTCTGGTGAGTCAGCCACAGAGAAACAGTAAAAAAAAAACCTCTTGTTCTGATACATTCTAGTCTATGCTATGCTATGCTATTCTATATTTTTGTACTTTATTAATATGTAACATCATATAATATATGCATTATGTTATGTGATATAATGAGAGCTATGTACTATATCTGTGATATATGTATAATTCTTATTACAATAGCTATGATGTATATATTTATTTATTTATAGAGCCATAGCTAGCTGGGGAATGTGGTGCTGGGGGATGTGGGGTGTGGCTATGGATGCTTCAGACCCGAAGTTTATGGCTCTGCAGGGAGAAGGATCTCTGCCCATTAACCCTCCACAGCCACCTGCAGGCAGAGCAGGTGGTTCGTTACCATTTTGCCCTTCACAGGTGGCTGTAGCACAACACCCTGGAATGCACAGGGGACTGACTCCCCCTTCTCCCAGCTCCACGTGCAGTAAGAGTTTTATTCCTGTGCCCTTTGCCCAAAGGAATAAGAGAAGTCTGCTGCTTTACTCCTTGCAAACTGTTAGGATACCGAGCCCACAGCCAAAGGGGCAAATGGGAAGTGTTGGTCTTCACCTCTTTTTTCTAACAAGCCCAAGGCATAAAGGACATGACACCAACACTGGGAGCCTGGTTTGGCAAAGGCTGTAGCACTGGAGAGCTGGAACAGCTATCAGCTAATAAAGCACTGCAGGTTTTCCTGATGTGTAACTTTAATTAAGCAGAGTGTGAATGTTGTTTAATTAGTCCAGTAAGCTGTTCAAGAAGAGCACTTTACACAACAGTTTGATACATAAGAGATGAAACTGTGTATGATGTCCTAGTTTGATATTCAAGTGGTCATACTCTAGAGTGTTTATTCAAACACAACATTTGCCCAGCACTCAAGCTGATAGGGCTTGCTTATGTGATGCTATTATTTTGATTTAATCCAGTTTCCCTTTACTAGGGTTTAATTTCTGTGGAGTACAGTAAAACAGATGATATGCTCACTGGATAACATTATTTTTAAAGTACTGATTTGAAGAAACATACTAACCATGCTGAATTCAAAGCAGAGCTATTTCAGTACAATGCTTTCAGACAAATCCCTTTGTGCTGCTCTAAACAAGCACTGGACAGTGTAAGTTTCCAGCTCATGTCCTTCAGAATCCTCCCAGTGGTGTTTGACCCTGACACCAGTGTAGCTGCCAGTATTTACCACCTCCACAGATGCTGCCTTAAAAGATACTGTTTTGTGAAGCATTCTTCTAATGAGTTTACTGTAACACTACATTTGATTACTTGTCTCCATCCCAAGATTTCAGTAGCTCAGTAACTTGCACAAGGATGCTTCAATTTAATGACATAATTAAACACCACCATGGGCTTAGGAGAGTTGCCTATTTAACAGGGAAAAGAAGCACTTCTTTTTCTTCCCTTGGTGTCTTCCTGCAGTTCCTACATACCTTCAGAATCCTTTTCTTTGTGTAGGTTTCCTTCCCCCATCAGCTTTAACTAATAAAAGTCTCTCATTTTCCAAGTGTTACCAATATATTTATTAATTTTGAAGAATTCCCATCTGAACACATTCAGACTGCAGCTTTAATATAGATCTGTTCAGACAGGAGAAATGTACAAATAATTAACACAAGCAGCACAGGGAAGATCCTGGTGTGAAAGTAGTAGGAATATTACAATTTCTTCCCAAAACAACTTTACTGATTTCAACAAAATTCCCAAAACAGAGAAGAGATGAGTACCTCCGAGTTTAAGGTGCGTGGAGAGTTGCTGAAGGCACTAGTACTTGCTCAAGTTACAGAGCTGCAGGACTCAACACAGATCTCCAAGCTGCCTGGGCACACCAACGCTGTCACCTCAGTTCTACTTGCACCACATCAGGAAAGAGAAAGCAGAACTTAAGTACACATGTACTTAAAAGTAAGTACTTCTGTACACATAGCTAAAGAGAAGTAGGGAACCAGGATCTCCTTCCCGTTCTGCTATTTATTAACATTCACGGTAGATTGTATGTTGAAAACATACTGCAGAACCCTTCACCAGTTTTCTATGGATAGAGTTATTCAATGATAAGTTACTGAAAAGCTACCGAAGAGAGAAGTAGTTCATAATACTGACTAAGCTAAGTCATCCTTTTAAACTAAAATTGAGCCTGGACACTAAAAAACTGTACAGAAAACAGACTTGTTTTACATGGTTAATACTGTCTGCACACTGCTGGAGTATTTCAATCTGCTAGCTTGCTTTAACTACAAAGAGTTAGAGCTCGTTCGTTATTTCTAGCCACTGTCACTCTCCTAGACACAAAAGCACAAAAGGTCCCCAGTGAGTTTATGTAGAGGATGGAAACACCTTTCTTTGAGGGGGTTGGGTTTGTTTAGATGTAACAAAGTCAGGACGAGAAAAATTCTGCTGTCACCTCTGACAGCCCAGAGCCAAGTAGTAAATATTTATCATTAGAATACAAGAGGTAGAGGATGTGAGATCTGGCAATACTGTTTTGCATCACTACAGAATTAAACCTCGCTTTGCAGAAGTTATGAATTAGTACCAGGAGAACAGCGCTGTCTGAAGATCTTAAACATGACAAACACTCATCAATCAGCGAGTACAGTCTCAAAGTATTTACTGTTATCTCAGTTACACTTTGAATAGGACAAAAACTGTTCTCTTTCTTACTCAATTTTACAACTTCTTTAGGCAACTTAACAGTTCTTCTTTGTCCATGTGATACCCACTCTTCTTCCATTCCTCCCTTAGCTGCTGTAATGCTGCTCCAATTTCTTTTCCAGAAGATATGCCCATTTTTCTTAAGTCATGTCCACTAACAGGAAAAGAAGGAACAGTCCATTGCTGCAACTCCTGTAAAAGATGATCTTCTCCTTGGTATTTCAGAAGCTCACAGATCTTGGAATTTGTATTAGCTTCCCTAGACTAGAAGAAAGAAAAGAAAGAATTCACTATAACACAGGAGAAAACACCTCAAACTGTGCTCCACACTACATTATTCCCATGACATCTTATTAGGCAACATCTGGACAGTGAGGTGGAACTATGTAAGTGAGGATGTCTCCTGCCTCCCAAGTTTTAAAACTCAGTCCTAACTTGGGAGGCTCTGGGAGGTCCTTGGAGACTTCTTAAAATTCCAGGTAACAGCTGTCACCATTATCTTCAACCTCCAGCTGGAGAGAAACTACTACCATTTCTGTGGGAGAAAGGCCTCACTGCAGACTGCTGTCTCCTGCTTTCAGTCTCAGGTGCTACAACAGAAGCCAACAGCTTCACCTGAAATTAACTGAACTTTGCTGTGGAAGAACATCACAGGCTGCCTGCTGAACAGGATGCCCTAAAAAGACCACTGTCCTGGGTTCAGCAGTAGCAGTCATGTTTCTCCTTCGTGGTAGCTGGTGTGGCGTGGTATAATGGCGAGCATAGCTGCCTTCCAAGCAGTTGACCCAGGCTCAATTCCCGGCCAACGCACCCCAAAAAGAACTGTGGTTTAAACCCAGTCAGGCAACTTGTTCACTCACTCCCAGTGAGTGGTGCCGGGCTGACAGCAATCGAGGCCCCCCACCGGGGTTCTCCCCTTCCCTGCTCCCGGAGGAACGGGGAGGAGGATCGAAAGGGTGCAACTCCTACGGGTTGAGACAAGAACAGTCCAGCAACCAATGTGCAACACAAATCACCACCCCTACTACCAACCACAACAATGATAAGGGAAAATAACAAGGGAAGAGAATACGATACCACCGGCCAAGAAACGAGTCCCACCCGGAAGCCTGTGTCCTTCCGGGTAACTCCCAGTCACCCCCCACCCCAGCCATGACGTGCTGTGGTATGGAATACCTCTTTGGCTAGCCCGGGTCAGGCGCCCCGTCTCTGCTTCCTCACGGCTTCCCCTCCTCCCTGGCAGAGCATGAGCCTCACAAAGTCCTTGGTCAGGGTAAACATCACTTAGCAACAACCGAAAACATCGGTATCACCAGCACTGTTCCCAGGCTGGAAGTCAAAACACAGCACTGCACCAGGTACCATGAAGGAGAAACATGACTGCTACTGCTGAACCCAGGACAACCACATACCAATTGCACTGACTTCCCATACACAATTGACATAAAAAAAACCCTGGAGTCTCTCAAGATCCAGATCCTATGTCCTGTTTTAAAGCAAAAGGGAGACCAGCTGGGACAGTATAGCAAAGTCAGTCCCTAGGTATGTTCACATGGAACTTTTGTTTCAGATGATCGCATATGATACTTGGTAGCCTGAGGCACGGGCAGGCTTTTAAATTCAGTCAAAAAACTGCTACAGAACACAAGGTATTAGGAACTGATAAAAATACAGTGGGATTCTTGTTTGCTTTAAATAATCTCTTTAAAATTAAAGTCTCAATATTCTGGATGAGAAAGAGAAAAGCTTTTGAACCCAAGCAGAAATGGCCGCTGCTTATCCTCTAAGTAAACTCTGGTAAGAGAAAAGGATCTTTTTTATAGCAAAAGTTTCTGCTTTACATTGCAGAGACATGCCAGGACATTTTGAATCGCTGTTAACTCCGGGTCCCTCTCCAGAGGAAAAACAAAGAGGGAAAACAAACCAACCAACCCACCCCACCTTAGTTACCTTGAACTAATAGAATACAGAAAGATATTCTTCCAGTTACTGTGAAGATATTACACTAGGAGCAATCCAAAGTTTGCCAATACTTTTTGCATCCCACCTTTCTGATGAAAATATCATGCTCTTTAAAACCCTGGCAAAAACTTGCCAAAGACCAGTAAACAAGCCTGACAACGAAATGGTTCTCACCTGACTCCAAGGCCCTTTCTTTCCCCTAGGCACTGTCATCTCTGCTATTCTGTAAAACTGGAAATTTGGCTTACTGTGTAGAGCAAAATAAAGCAATATGAAACACACTTACATCCATGATGACATCCTGATACGGTTTAAGTGGTTCTGGACCCACAGCTTTGGTTAACTCTTGCCGGTGCTTCATTATGAAAAGGCCAAGGGTTTTTTCTTCTTTTGAGATTTTCAGCCTCAGATCAAGGTTTGTGATGTCATCCTTCCCTTTGAACAATGATGTCAGAACAGTCATCGGTTTTGGACACAGGTTTTGTACATTTTTAGTTACTCTGGCAAATTCCTCTAGATCTCCATCAAGTGGCAGTCCTAAAGGGACACACACAGGGAAAAAAAGTACAAGAAAGTGTTAATAAGAAATGTGGATGTTAACACACAAAAAAGTAATCTACTTCTTTCTGTGTAAAATGAAGTTTTATCTCACTCTGCCATTCTGCAGTTCTGCTTGTGTATGATATAGGAGTAGTAAAGCAATTTTCATTTCACTTTACCTATGTACTGTGCAATATCCAGCTCATACATAAGTTGAATCAAATGATTTACATGGTTTCCAAGAAGAATTTTTTTCAGTTCCACCCAAATCCTTTCTCCTGATATTCCAGCCAAACCTTTGGCATTTTCTTTAATTGCTTGCAGCGTACTAGATTCATGAACATCAGGTTTCTCTGCGATTCTTCCATAAAACCTGCCCAAAGAAAACATCTGTATGTTAGAATGAGCACAATTATTCCATTTAGAATCATAGAATTGTTTAGGTTGGAAAAAGACATTTAAGGTCATTGAGTTCAACCGCTAACCCAGCGCTGTCCAGTCCACTACTAAACCATGTCCCCAAGTGTCACATCTACACATCTTTTAGGTCCCTCCAGGGACAGTGCCTCCACCACTTCCCCGGGCAGCCTGTTCCGATCCTTGGCAACCCTTTCAGTGAAGACATTTTTCCCCAATATCCAATCTGAACCTCCCCTGGTGCAACTTGAGGCCATTTCCTCCTCATCCTATCACTTGTTACTTGTGAGAAGAATCGATTTCTGCTATTCAGAGAACGTCACAGCAGTGTTAAATATTCCAGCTTCAAGTACAAGAGGAAACTTGACAATATGACAATTACATCACTTTTTACATCACTGATCTCTTTTTGCAATTTCTGAACTTCTACAATGCTTGGTTTGTTTCTTTATCTAGGAAAAGAAAAACCCAGTACCTGAAATATCTTAGGATTCGTAAATAATCTTCTTGTATTCTCTCAGTTGCCTTTCCTACAAATCTAATTTTCTTGTTTTTCAAGTCTTCATATCCATTAAAAAAGTCATACAGCATTCCATCCAAACCTACAGAAAAGGAGAAAAAAATGCAAGAATACTAGTTTACAAACATGGTTGGCACAACTGAACACTCCCATCTGCAAATACAGAGGCTGTGTGATTTGACTTGGTTTGTCAGATCACCTCATGTATTTGTACAGGCCTTCCAGCTGAGAGCAATAAACAAAACTAAAACAGACCAAGAGAATTTACTGGCTTAATCTAAAAGGCGGTGTTTCATCTAACTTACTTCCTTTTGAAAGGACTTACCTAAAAACATGGAATTGATAGTCAGATCCCTCCTTTCAGCATCCTTTTCCCAGTCAGTGGTGAATTCCACCTCTGCATGTCGTCCATCAGTGACGACATCTATTCTAAGAGTAGTAATTTCAAAGTTCTGTTCATGGAGCTGAAAATCCCACAGACATTGTTACTTCAACATGACCATGAATACACACCAAGATCTGTATATCTTTTCAGCCTTGTGTCTGTAGACAGTCAGTGCTCAACCTGGATACATGCAAACCAACAGGTACCATATTTTCATACACAGCAGACAACCAAGAAATACAAACATCCAAAACTAATCCCTGCATTACTGATTTTCTAGGTAGCCTGCAGAAACCTCCCTGCAGAAGATGGAATAAGAAGCAGAGAAATGAGCACGGTTGAGAAAGTGCCACATGAGAAATCAGGAGGAGGAAACACTGGGATCTTCCTCACATGATCTGAGCATGTGTGGGGGGGTCTATATTATCTTTTCTAGTGATAGCACAACAGCATGAATGGCTTATGCAGAGGTAACATGCATTAAAATATGGTAATAAATTGAATTTTGCAAAGAGTAATAAGAAAAGAATTCACTCCATACTTTAAAGCAGGCTCTTATTTAAACTCTTACTGCGATACTTTAACAAAGGAGCATGCCACCAGTTCTCTATTGGATATGCTGCACAAATACAGTTAGAAAAGATTCAAATCAAGACACAAACCAACCCTGGCAGTAATGGTTCCATGTTTTTCTCCTTTGTTATTGATGAGACGAACACCAGCAGATGTGAACATGTCCTTCATCTCTGCGGGTGTAGCTGTAGTGGCAAAATCTACATCTTGTGGTGTCATTCCACTCAGTAAATCCCTCACAGCACCTCCTGCTATCCTCAGCTCATAGTTCTTCTTCTCAAACATTTCTGGGAAGAAAAAGAAAATTAGGAAGCACTCTCCTAAACACACACCATAGCACGCTGCCAGCCATACCCTTACTTTTTCACACATTAAGGTGATAGATGTGGGAATACACACTCAATACGCAGTAAGCATGCATGTACCTCACAGCTTCTTGCAAAATGCACAAATTAGATACTCAGCTGAGCAACCACAGGCATTGTCTCAGTCATTTCATTTCCTATGTATTTTTCTGGGGCACTTCTGATAATTTAAGTATTAACAGCTATATAACTGATACTAGGGTGCTCCGGGCTGCAGAATAGTTTGAGCAGCCAGTAGCCAACAAGACAAAAGTGCTCAGTTTACTTATGGCAGAGCACAATGGATGGTGAATCCAAACTTCTCCAGTAAACACACACCCCACAACTGTCAGCTCCACCACGTCCTCCGAGGTGCCCGGAAGTTGCAGTGGCCGAATCCAAAGAGCAGCAGACACCTCCCAAGGCACCGCAGGCACCCAGGCTGCCCCCCAGCACCGTGACCGAGCCACAGAAGCCGCAGTCCATTTCCCTCGTAAGCGGATGAGGTGCTGCGCCTCATCAGGGACAGGACGCAAACTGCAACGCTTGCGTTCATCGCCACGGCTCTCCAGGCCGCACTTCGTTCTCCGCACGCCACCACAAGAGGAGACGCTCCGGAGGCCCAGGCCCAGCCTCCCCGCGCTGTGCTCACCTGCCACGCTGCGGAGCCCCGGCGTGAAGAGGGCCTGGAACTGTGGGGACTGCAGCCTCATGATGCCCGCCGCTCGGTGCCGCGGCCGGAGCGGCGGGAGCAGCCGCAGCCGGGCCCTGCAGGGCAGAAGCAACACCTCAGCCCGCATCTGCGGAGAAACGGCCACACGACACGTCAGCCGCCCCGCGCCGAGCGGGCCCGGCCTCCCCCCGCACGGAGAGACCCCCTTCCCCCGCAGGCACCGAGCTCCCCGCCCGGCCCCGCCGCACTCACCCACCCGCGGCGCTAGGCCCGAAGAACTTCCTCCGGCCGCCCGGCTCCTCCCGGCGCCCTGAGATGACGTGTCGGCGTCTCGCGATAACGTTGTCGCCGGTACGTGACGCAGCTGGGCCCCTCCGCCGCGGGGAGGCGGGGTCTGGGCGGTGCTAGGGGCGGAGCAGCCCCGGCTGCGGGGCAGGGCTGGAGCGGGGGGCGCGGGGGACGTGGTGGGTGTGTGTGGGGGTGTGTGGGGGTGTGTGTGGGGGTGTGTGTGTGGTGGGGGTGTGTGGGGGTGTGTGTGGGGGGGTGTGTGTGTGGTGGGGGTGTGTGGGGGTGTGTGTGTGGTGGGGGTGTGTGGGGGTGTGTGTGGGGGGGTGTGTGTGTGGTGGGGGTGTGTGGGGGTGTGTGTGGTGTGTGTGTGGTGGGGGTGTGTGGTGGGGGGTGTGGTGTGTCTGGGGGGTGTGTGTGTGTGTTTGGTATGGGGGGGGTGGGTGGGGGTGTCCCGGGACAACAGGGGCTTTGCCCGGGTGAGGAGCCACGGCTTTATCAGCTGTGGTGGGGAAGCAGGTGAACGGGTGTCATGCCGAGGCATAAAGCATGAATTAAGTGGTGTACGAAAGAAAGAGTGCGAAAGATCTGCCGTGGCTTGATTTCAGGTTAGAGAAAAAGGATTGCAAAGGGGAGAAAAATGCATTCTGATAATGACACAACTGTGACAAAAGAAATGGACTAATTACCCCAGCACACCACTTGAGAGATGGGTTCAGTAGCCACTGGAACAGCGCAGTGCTGGTATTGAGCTTGGCAGCTGCTGATCATAGAATCAGACTGGTTTGGGTTGGAAGGGACCTTAAAGCTCCTCCAGTTCCAACCCCCTTCTACTAGAGCAGGTTGCTCCAAGCCCCGTCCAACCTGGCCTGGAGCACTGCCAGGGATGGGGCAGCCACAGCTTCTCTGGGCACCCTGTGCCAGCGCCTCAGCACCCTCATAGTAGAGAACTTCCCAAGGTCTCATCTAAATTTATGCTCTTTCAGTAGAGCCATTCAGTGCTCCAGGTAGGGTCACGCAAAAGGAGAGTAAAAGGGAATCCCCACCCTCCATCTGCTGGTCATGCATCCCAAGGACACGGTTGGCTTTCTGGGCTATGAGTGCAGCCCATTTGCTGAACTATGTATGTGAAGCAACGTGGTGTAGCTTAAACATTAGGTTTATGTTTGTTAGCCTAGATTGATATGTTTGTCAGCCTAGATTGATATGTTTCCTTTATTGTGAGAAGATGTATGGACAAGACAGGATAATATGGGAGGCTGGGGGATGTGGTACAGTCTGAATGTCAGTCCTTCCCTCGTCACAAGTGTAATTTCACTGGAATGACTGTGGAATGACTGTGTTTGGCCAACTGCATTTCCCAGAGGAGGGCCATGGCTCTCGTTGCTCCTCCCTGTACTGCTCCTGCATGAAAGCATCTCAGAAGGATTGGAAGGAATGAAGCCAGAGAAGGAACTCACCCAAATGCGAGTTAATTGGGAGTGTGGTACCCTTTGAAGCCTGAATAAATCTTTGTCTCAGCATAAAGGGTTTTACAGGTTTCTTGGTAACTGGGAAGAAATGTGTCACAGACCTATCCAGCCTTTTAAGCACCTGCCAAATCAGCATCTAGCTGCAGCCAGGAGTGTGCTTAGGAGCACAAAAGGGCTTTTTTTTTTTTATTGGAATGACCTATTAAAATGAATCTCAGACTACAACAATCAAGTCAGGCCTGTATAAGAACATAACCTTTTTTTATCCTTTGTTTTGGTGACTTTCTTATTAAACTCATACTTCACCTTTAGAAATGATCTCTTTTCTACAGAAATATTCTGATGTAGGTATCAGAATATTGCCCAGTAATTACCTGTTTATTCAGAGACATAGGGACTGGCCAGACCTTAAGAGCTCACCTAACTTACCTCTGTGCCTCATGGCAGGATTTGATTACCACTGTCATTCCTGCTTGATGTTTGTCTACAGATGACCCATCACAGAGTTTCTTTCAGTCCTTGGGTGCTCCACTGCCTGAAACTGAAAACTCTGAAACTCTGTCCAACTCTGAATGCTTTCCCTGATACCTAACCTGAATTTCACTTGTTGTCATCTTCTAGTCACAGGCTGATGGGCTTGGAGAACGTGTGAAAGCTTAAGGTGTTACATTTCTGCTCAAGTCTTCCCTTAGCTTGTTTCCTCTCTGATACTCTTTAGGCTCTCATATCCTTTGCTGTGTACTGGCTTCTCTTTATCTGCTGCATGGCCTGCTTAAGTGCAGTATCTGAGCTGGGCACAGCGTGTGTGAGTGGAGGCTTTATCAGCACTGTGCAGAGTGGAAGGATTACGTCGTGTCTGTAGAGGACACCGGTGTTTTGCTGGCATCATTTCACAAGTGCATGGCATTGTTTATGTCTCTTCAGTTTATGGCCCTCCAAACCCCCACATCCTTTTCTGCAGAACAGATACCTAATCAGTTGATTATTTAGAGCTAGTCATTCACAGTTGGCAATGCCTAATTGCAGTTGAGAGCTTGCCCATATTGCACTGCACCCAATCTCCACCAATTTGTCAAGAACTTTCTTAATTCTAGTCTTACCTTCAAAGCACACACCTTTCCCAGCTTGTGTCATCTGCACATTTAATAGGGTAGTTGCAATCAAGGTTGTTAAAGAATGTAAGTCATTAGCCTTGTTCTTCTCCTTCCTGTAACTCCATTACATGCAGCCCCACTTTCTGCAGAGTCTTCTCTTGCCCTTGAGTCATTTTCTGCTGCTTGTCCTGCTTGTGAGCCTGTGTTCCCCAGCCCTATGGATCACAGCCCAAAGCTCTCAGCATGAGGTTAGGAAGCTCACCTTGCTCTGGTCCAGATAACTTCCCAAAATGCCACTGATGTTCACATGGCTGTATAGCAAGAGCATTGAACAGGATGGTATAAAACCATTGCAGGAAGCCTGCACAGTTTCCCAGCAACATTTGGATTTGATTTTCTAGGGGAAGAACAAATTGGGATGTCAGCAGTGGTCCGTAGGTAGCTGGCTATAGGTTATTTCTTTGCAGTCGGTCATTAAACATGCCTGCTCTTGCAAAATTATTAGAGAATTGTCAGACTATGCTATCTAATTAACCCTCGATAAAGCAAACCCATTTCTGAGCTAAACTGTGTGCTTGTATGGAGCCTTCCATCCTGTGGTTAAATCTGTAGTTCCCTTTTTCAATGCGTGCTTGTCTAACTTATCATCTGCCATCATTTCTGAAGTACCTATCACATTTGTACTTGAAAGACAGCAGTTATAAAAGAAACCCACAGGAAGATGACCCAGAGGACGTTTGAACAAATGGAGCTGACTCTTCACAGAACCTTTGAGCCTTGCAGGTAACCTCCTGGGATGTTTGTTGTGGTTTGGTTTTGCCTTGCTGTGCCTTGTTTGAAGACTGCAAAAGTCCTGCTTTTCAAAGTCAGCTTTGCCTGGCGCTGGGAAATGCATCTGGAATCTGCTTCTGACCCTTGCTTGTGAGATTGTGGGACATGTCAGCTGTAAGTAAGAAAATCATTACCTTTTTGAGGCTGTTTTCTGTGGTTTGGATTTCTACTGTCCTTTCAGGAGTATACTCATTACAAAAGGAATAATATCATTTACCTTCTGCTTATACTTTTTAACATATGTAACAAAACATAATATATCAAGGCCTTATTTGTCCTGAGAACTTACTATATCCATATGTATGGATATAGGAACATGCTTCTCTTGTAGATTTCTAATTAACATCTTTATTTGAATACACTTGTTTTGATCCTTTTTTTAGTAATTCCTCACACAAAACACAGACTGCAAGGTATTCTCGTATATTATCGTCTTGCACATCTATGGAAAGACCTCTTTAAAAAGCTGTATTTTCAATCTTAGTCTGATAGCAAGAGAAGGAAAAATAGCATTTTTGTAAACAAGGCGGGAAGAGATAAACTGAAAAGAAGAATAGGGATAATAATTGAAAGCTAATCTGCATTACAGTAACATTTTATATCCAGTTTCAGATCAGTAAATCGCTGCTTAGAAAATGTTAGATCTGTGTCAAGTAAGTAAGTGCATGATTTAGACAGATAAAGTACTTTTGAAATTAGGGGTTTTTTTAAAAGTACACAGAAAAGGGTGTGCCCAGGAAGAATCAGAATTCTTGCTTTTTGAGGGCAAATTAAGAAAGTCTATACGTAGCCAAAATCACTTTAAGTAAACCCAGCAGAGAGCCAGCTTTTTCAGTTGCGCTAGATGTCAGAGCACTCCAAAAACCAATGTACAGGCATTACTTGTGTTAGTAGACATGAATCTTAAGCAGTTGTAAAACATGAGGCTTTTTAAAGACTTTTAAAGAAAATAATGTGATCTTGGGAAGCAGAGGACTGTGTGGTATCCAAGTGAGAGAACCCAAAGAACGGACTTTTCGTGAATGGTAATGCAATAGGAAATCATCTTGGAGGCACTGTCTAGGCATAAATGTACAAGGTGAATAGTAATTACCTGATTGTGATTCACATACATTGTGTTAGAACCAAAGTGTCTGGCCAAAATGTCTTTCAGTAACCCAACATACATAAAAGCAAACCCTGAGTCCCCAGGAATAATCTGTTAGCAAACTCCAGAGGTTGAGTTAGCCTTTGCACATTTGGGCTAGCAGAATAGCAGATACATACAAAATATGAATACAGGTAATGAGTGGACCTGGACATTAGGAAACACACTGTATTGTCAATTATGTGTTATTTTAATGAGCTCAGCATTCATACACCATATTGAAAGATAGTTATGGTGTAGCAGAAGTACTCCAACTGTGATCAATTGGAGTGCTTCCAGTCCCTGGGTTATTTATTGCAGGTTCAGGGAGAACTGATGGGTTAAAGATGCTTTCTCTGCTCATTACCATCTGAAAATATTATGTTCTCCATACAAGCAATTGCTGTAGTGCCCCAGGGGAGTGTGCGATTGGGCTGGGAGGGCCTATTTCTCTTTGGTAAGAACACTTTGGAAAGCTGCTGTTCTGTATGTCCATGTTGTTTATATTAGGTTATAGATGAATGATTACACATCGATTTTTTTTTTTTATTCCAGTGCTTCATGAAACAATCTAGGAAGCATAAAAACATGCTGTTTTTTTAGCATTAAAAATAGTTGTTCATTTCATTTAGAAACAAACAAAATATTTTCTCTTACACCCAATAATTAACACTGCAGAATTAGCCTTGAGGTGAGTACTGAGACTGCTTCTTTAGCAAGCTTTATTGAAACAGAAACTGGAAAGTAAATTCTAGTAAGTACCTATTTTATATATAGTGGCAGCTAAAAATACGGTTATTTCTGTTCTTTGAGTAAATGGGACTCCACTGAAAGTCAATATACCTGAACCTGACTCACTCCTCTCCATGGAGAGATGCTCTAATTCGGCAGCAGTGACTGCTGCTCTGAACATCCACAGGTGACTGTTTTGAAACTAGTAGCTTTCTCAAGGTGTGCTGGCAAATGCAAAGGGAGCAAAATGAAATGTGGTTGCTGGTACTTAAATTAAATTTAACAATGACAAGATGCATTTTCCTGCAAGGAAAGGAGAAGTGTCTGTCCCTTGCAATGTAGCAGTTTAATTCCTTTGATCATGCGGATATACCGTGTGCCATGGTTTGTGTGCTTGACTATTGGGATTGTGTTCTTTTTTAGGTATCAGCCTCTTTAAGATGGTGACAGATCCACGTACTGGTACATGGCTGTTCTCATATACCATTTGAAGATCATAGCCAGCACGATGAAAGTTTTTCTGATCCTCCTTTGGACAGCAAACTTCATTCAGCCAAACCTACCTCAGGCTGCAGGAGGTAAGGCATTTTCCTTCTACCAGTGTGTAGCTTTAGCACCGGTTGGCCCCTCTACCTGTTGGTCAGATGCACTGTTCTACACACGAATAAAACAGTCCATGGCATGCCATGTGAGTACAGGGCCACAGATGAGTGTGCTGTGTTAACGTAATTTCCTGGGACAGTTTACTCTGTGTGTTAGATTGCTCCCAGATAGTGCCTGAGTACTGTTTTACTTTGAGAGGAAAGAACCATAAGGCACGTAGATAAAACTTGTGCCATGCCACTTGCCCTCTAGGCTAGACAGTAGTTCCTGGTCTGGTTTATTCAACAATTTAATCCAGCCAGAGCAAAGGCATTACTCCAGATAGCAATTTTACCTCCAGGAACAAAACTGCAGTTTGTTGCAGAAACCTGGTGACACAAAGAATTTCTGGCATAATCGTGGTGTATCAACAGCCTTAGTGGGGACATTTTTTTGTGGGCATCTCAAAAAAGGAGCATTTTAAGGGAAGCAGTTCAGTGTGGTTTGTGTTGGGGTTTTCTGAGCCTTTATGAGGCAGTTTTCCTAGTGCAAGGTGCATGCTTGAAAATGGAACTAGTGGGCATCAAAGGTTGAAACCATGGGAGAAGTGGGGATTGATGTCCTTTAGCTGCATTGGAGATGGCAATTAAGAGAGCACAGGCTCTGAAGAAGTCTAGAAATGGAGGGGAGGAGATTGCTTTTTTCATTGCCTTGCTATTTATATGCTAACATTTTCCCCCAGCATGAGATCTCCATTTCCATATGCGCTCCAGGAATCCCTCTTGCCCTGTCATTTTGAATTATCATTCCCATCCTTCTATGTTTTCTTCCATTTATGCTTAATTCCTCTGTTTATAATTTTGTTTCTTATCTCACATATAATTTCTTGCGGCCATCAGAAAGCCCCCCATGTTATGCTCTTCTGCAAGCTTATATGGGGAGAATTGTTCTTACAATTGATCCCTCCATCAGCCCCGTTTCAGTACAGATGCCTCTTGTCTATGTGGATATGAGGATCAAGTTGAAAAACCTATACCTAATTTACAAACCAGTTGTGTGTTTCAAGTTGAAACTGTTGTAAAAAATCATTTTTAAGCTAAATTTTAAGTAAACTCCTATTTGATGAAGTTTTGGTTGTTATTTAAAGGTATTTTTCAAATATTAGAAACATTTTATAAGAAGGTGTTGAGAGAATATAATATTGAAATGAAATTATTAGCTTGTATTATAAGCTTGTATTGCTTACTGCTTGTAAAGCTCTTGTTCTAAACAATTCACTGGATTGCTATGTTATGAATACTTTTCTACTTTACAGTTCAGGTTTTCCCACCTGTTAACTTCACCCTTACAGTCTCTGCATTAGCACAAGTGCTTTTACAGTGGAAACCAAACCCTAATCAGGAACAAAAAAACTACACTATTAGATATGATGTGAAAATCCTAAGCCCAGTGCCTGAAGAGGTAAGATGAAAAATAAGTCCACTATCCTAAGAAGGTAAAATTCATGTTGAGTTAAACATATTGCACCAAATCTGGATGCAGTACATGTGATATGTCTCTTGAATAATTAGCATATCAAATCACTTATTCTCTTATATAGTTTGAGCATTGGAGAGATTCCCTTTCAGCTCTGCTTAAGGTATAGCTCTGTTGGGACAAGGCTCAGCTTGGGTATTGGCAGTCCCAGTCTGCAGCTTTTATCTTGGTGGAAAGATGGATTCTAGTTTTAAGTGATAGTGCTCCCTGTTCAAGTCAGCTCACTTAATTCACATTAATGCCAGGGTATCATTAAAATGTCAGATCATGTTTCATCACAGCTGTATGCCGTAAACAAGTTTTTGGTAAGATAAGGTTCCTGCTTTCTTAAATGAGAAACCTTAGACGCTTCTTGTGTGGATTATTTGTACTCTCTAGCTGTATACACTTAACATAACCAGCCAAGGTAGCTGGCTGGTTTGCCTCTTTGCAAACAGGTCCCTTAATTTGGCTTCCATCACATGTAATGCTTATTTGATGTTTCAAGTATGATACAAAGAAGACTCACAGTATCCGAACAGCTCCACTTCACAATGGTTTCTCGGCACATGTTCGAACGTTACTTCTCCATAATGACCTTCAGATGAGGAGTGACTGGGTGAAGGAAAATCTCCTGCCTGCACCAGGTAGGGGGGGTCTGAATTTTGTCTTCTGCCCTGCTCTGTGGATTAGACATCAAAAATGACAGGTTTAATACTTGAAAAATGCAGCATTTCCTCTTCTGCCTGCCACGCTGATCTTACAAAATGATTTAGGCTAGGCCTTTATCTACTGCTATGGAGCCTGGAGTACAATCTGGAGGTGCAGAACATGGATAACCCATATAAAATTTTATATGATTTCCTTGCTAAGGCTAAGATAACTACTTTCATACACTCTAGGATTTTAAAAGACCATATTGCCTTGATGTACATGAAATATGTAATGGTGCTGTGTGGTATAGCTTTACTTACACTGTTCGGGAATCTTCATCCATCCATAACTGACAGACCTGTGTGATAAGGAAGAGAATTGGATACAATAGACATAGAAATAATGGACCAAAGGCTGTAGTCAAAGTGTTTTAGCAAGATGAATTTCTTACGACTTTTGTAGTAAGATTTTTCTTACTGCTTTATAATTCCTTGATTCTCTAGGTGCTCCAGAGACATCTGTCACCAATTTGTCCTGTGTTACTCGCATTAGTGTTTCTAATACTGTTTCTCTCCATTGCACCTGGCTTCCTGGCCAAGAAGCACCAGAAGATACCAAATACTTCCTATTTTACAGGTTGGTGTTTTCTCCTATTTAAGTCAGTAATCAATTTCCTTAAAATCATCATGACTGACAAGTATTTTAATTTAGGTATGAGATGTACACTGAAGAGTGTGAAGATTATATAAAAGACAAGTGGAACAGGAATACTGAGTGCAGATTTTCAGTGACTCATATTGATCCTGAAGAAGTTGATAATCTCATTGTAATACACATTAACGGTTCTAGCAAGTATGCTGCAATCAAGCCTTTTCAGCAGCTATTTAACCAAAATGCCATTGGTGAGTAAATATACATTTAAAAAAATACTTACAGATGTCTAGCAGGATTATGAAAAGATATTTGAAATAATATTTCTGGATTGGATGATTCTTGATGCAGGGGAGAATATGTGCTGGCATTGCATCGACAGCTTCATGAAATTCTAAGAGATTATAGGACAGAAATGGATGGTTATAACTGAGTTTGATTTTACCTTCAAGTACAGTTTTTACTACCTTTTGGTTTAGAGTCATTCTTTAAAAGGAAAAAGACACATGGTGTTGAAGATAACCATGTCCTTTTAAAAAAGGCAATAGTGTTGAATAAAAGGTAGTGTCAGCCATGACTCTCCACCATCTTTCATCTACCCAAATAATTTCTTTTCCTTCATTTGTTCCATGCCTTTCACTTTTTTGTTATCAGATATGATTTACCCTTTTCATGGCTTCATTAAGATAAAACAATTGACATACTTTCTTCTTAGAAATCATCCCCCTAAGAGCTGCTGATGCATTGCTTTGAATTTGTTTCAGTTTTCAATAACTTTCCTAGTTACATCTTTTGTTTGTTTAAGTTTTTCTAACTGTTCTATCATTAATTTAATGCTTTTGTGAAAAGTAATTTAATAAATTCTCTCCCCCACCAGTAATCTAGTTTCCCAAAACTTCTACATGGATTTTTAAAACTGTTTTCTCTTAACTATTTTCTGCAATGTAGTTATTCCTCCTAAATCCTTATCTTCTGTGTCCAAAAGGTAAAATAAATTTGAGGATTATAGATCCTACTTGGAAACACTTATCAGGTTAAAAATGCTCCAGTTGCTAGTATTTAAACTTGGCTCTAAATAAATAACTTACCAGTACAGTTTTCTTTTTATAGAGAAAGTGAATGTTCCCAGAAATGTCACTGTATTCTTAGAGCAAAATGATCTCCTGGCCACATGGGAGAAGCCAATTTCTCCTTTCCCTAAAGAATGCTTTGAATATGAATTTTACCTCTTCAACTTGAAGTCAGGTAACAAGCAGGTAATTGCTTCTCTGATGCCCCAGTGTTACGTTGCATTCCCTCTCTGAGCTGACTGTCTTATATAGCTAGAATTTGCCTTTACACAACCTGGTCAAAAAGTCTTCGTATTTGTGGTTATGTTACAAGTTTTAAAGCATTTAAAACGAAGCCTGCTATTAGAACATTTCTGAAACTATGGACTTCTGCTGAAACTTGTGTCCCATTTGTGACTAGGGTTCAGCAAACCCAAAGTCTCATGAATTTTCATGTTTTCCTTCTTCTTTTCCCACAAACTATCCCCCAAGAGACTTAGGAAAGCAGGACAAAATTTGGAGTTATTCAGTTTTATGCATCTGGGTTCAGAACAATAAGAGAATGGACAATGCTGAAAATTCAGCATGAAGTGTCTTAAGGAAGAATGCAAAATGAGGTATCTCTCAAGAATTTACCCTGAAATATTGGTGCATTATGAGAGAAATTACACCTTCTTATTTCAAAAGCAAGGCCAGATGCTCAGTTAATCTAGTAAAAGAATTTAAGCAAAATAGAAAGATAAACATGATGAAAGTTTGTTTTCTGATTTGCTTAGTTTAAGTAATCTGAAACAGTATGATACTGTTTTCCTAACAGATACTGAAAATACCTGTAAATGCCTTCAGATTACGGATTGATGTTACCAGCAGGTATTCCATACAAGTAAGAGCTAATCATCACATATGTTGTACAAGAGGTTTTTGGAGTGATTGGAGTGAAATTATTTATGTTGGTAAGAATGATATGTTTCTGTCTTTAGTGAATATTATTACATTGCTGGAAAGCAAATGCTGCCTAATCATGAGTATGCATACCGCCAACTAAATTTAATAGAAGCCAGGAAAAGAAGTATTTGAAGAACCTGACTTGTGAAAGTGAAGGGGAGTTAAATCTGTGTTCCATTAAAGAAAAAAACCACCACTTTTGGATATATGGAGGATTTTTTAGACTGTTTCGGTTTTACATGCTTATGTTTTCAGAGACTGCTTTAAACTAGCTTAAGTAAGTCCTAAGTTCTAGGTAAGGCCTTTTAGTTGCATTACTTCTTTAGTTTTTACATGTATTTCCCTGGCATGCATCGTGATGTTCATGCTGTGAGTGATCATGTCAACAGCTACTGTATTGGAGCTATCTGAATTCTTAGATGTTGGGAGGAAAAAAAGAGCATGGTTTTAGCATCTTAGGAATGTGATCATTTGCTCCTCTCTGTTCTGTATTTCCTGCTTGCTGAACATGTTTTTCTGGAAATAACAGTTTCCTTATCAAGACACACTATCAACTGTTTTTTCTTAGACATCCTCCTTTGCTCTTATCTTTTGAGTTTCTTAATTTCCTGGTTTTCACTTTATGCTCTCCTGTTTACTGAACTTTTCCCTCATATCTATTTGCTAGTGAATGCAAAGCTGCTGATGTTTTGCCTCCTTACTCTAACATATCCCCTTGACCTTCCCACCTGGCTCCATGGCAGGGACAAGCCCTTGGGAAGAGAGGCTCAGCAACCCAACCACTGACCCAGGGCAGGGGTGGGAGGCTGACCAAACATCTCATTAATTAAGAAAACTGGGCCTGTTTATTAGCCTCATGCATCTATCCGGGAAGTATTTTGATGAGACTAACTTGAAGACCAGCAGACTCTCTTCTAAGTCCATATCCTGAGAAGAACACTGGACTAGATTCTGCATCCTGTAGCTTTGCTAAAAGCTGAAGCACAAGTCTGAATCCTTCTCTCAGGCATTGGTAATCATGCCCTGGGAAATGCAGACACATGCTGCCAAAGTGGGTGTTGTAGAATTGCACCTTGATACCAGCTGTCTCTAAAAGAACCATTGCAGTCAAACAAAGCTAGATAAGAAAAAATCAGTGCGGATGAGTGAGTGGGACAGTTTTCTCTTATAGAAAGGGTTTTTTAGAGGCTTGTTGTGAGTACGTCTCTGAGAGAAGTCCGAGGAGAAGCATGCTGGGCAGGTCCCCAGAGCCACAGTGCAGTGTCTGCAATTCTTCCAAACTCTGAGTTGCAGTGTGAGCGTTAACTGACCATACCTTTCTGAGGCCATTGCCAATTGATGATATAAGATGGAAAAGACTTAGGACCCTTCTATTTTTGGTTTGGAAAATTGATACTATTCCCACCTGTCATGCTGGATAGCTTAAAATTGGTTTATGGGACTTAACCACTTTGTACAGTTTGCTGCCCCGGTCATCCTCAAGCCTTACACAAAGCACAACTCATTGACAATTACATCCTAAATCTCATTTTCTAGAAACAAAAGTGGTAACCCTGAAGACAAAATAAACCATCCTAACCCAGTTTTAATTACAAGGTTGAAGGTTGACTCGGTGCCCCATCAGGGTACTGTGGAAGTGCAGGATGGATCACACAGGTCTGCTCGTAGTGTCATCCACATGCTGCTCTCTGGACTGCTGTGCAACCACAGCCATCAGCAGAGACAGCAGGCTCAGCTGCTCATTTCTTAGAGACAGATCTGTCCACAGTTGAATATTGTTTTGTCTACAGCAGCAATAAACCCAACACTCCTGCTGCTGGCTGATTTATGTCCTTTCAATTACCCAGTAATGGCAGTGCTGACACCTTGATGCATAGAACAGGTAGTTATCATAACTCGGCAGCCTTTTGAAAATGCACTTCAATGTAAATGTTTTGGTTATATTGCATAATGTGGCACCAAATAATGGCCCTGGCCACTGAGCAATGCCTTTTAAAACAGAAACACTGACCTTGATAGAAATATCTGTGTCTGCTCACAGGCAGACACAGTAGAGAAATTCTTCCTGAGAAAATGTATCATCAACCAGCTCTCAAGAAGAATGGGGTGTTCATTGTCTTCTTTACAGGCAAGTTTAAGAAGCTAGAGAAATACAGTTCCTGGCTAGAAAGGATTAACAGAAACTGAATAATAGTTTAATGGGAAACAAATAGTTTGTGCCTGAGATTATTAACAAACAGTGTCTTTGCTGAGTACCAGTTGTGCCCCCACTGCATGGCATTGTGTGTCTTGGGACGGCAGCTAACGGACAATATCAACCTTCTGGTGGGCCTCACTCCTCATGCGTCTTGTCTCTTTTTTCCTTCATGTGAAGATGAAATAAATGTATTGTTGAAACTAGAAAGTCAGTTTAATGGAAATTGTTCGTGAAGCTCTGCCTTTCATTTCTAATTCCAGATAGTAGGTCTTCACTGTTTGCATGTTAATTTGTGATCTGGATATAATGACATAAAACAGCTGATGAAATATTTTGTAAGAGTGTGCTTAAAATAATCTGCACTAAAATAATATCTTTTTTTTTTCTTTGAAATTCAGGGCAAAACAAACTGGAGAATTCCACAGTCTGGATTCTTGCTGTGCTTTGTGGGTCCACATGCTTCACATTCCTACTTGTTGCTATAATATGCAAAACGTAAGTATCATCGTCTTCTGTTTAATTAGTGACTAACTAAGGACTAGGTGCTTTACAAGTGTGTGGGGATGTTACCACCTTTGCTTAATTTTAAGAAAGGGCACTTCTGTACTGAAGCATAATTACACACTGCAAAAGTACAGAATAAGTAGTAGTCAGCCTCATTAATTATCAGTAATAATATTCAACAACATATCAGAGTTATTCAATTTAATCTTCAACAACAAAACCATATACTGATTGAGGTGAATTTGTTAAAAATCTATTTGTCCTGATCTCATTTATTCACTTAAATGGATCTGGTTGGGTCAATGATTTCCCCAGGAGGATTCTGTCTTTAACCATAGTGAAAGCTGCTGAGAGCATCTTTCATGGTTAAAATGCACAGAGCAGTGTTTTCTTAGTCTTGTCTAGCTCAGTTCACAGACATGCCCTACTCTGGGCTCAGGGCATGGGGTCTGAATTTCAGCTGACATCAAGGAGTAGATGCTCTGCAGAGGTAAAAATTAAGTGCTTTTGTGCTTGCAGCTCCTCCTGACCTTTAACAGGAGCAAGTGCATTAAAATATTGGTTGCTTTGTGGTTTTGAGCTATTTGTTTATTTTTAATTACTACAGAGTCTATGGGTGCCATGCAGTAAAAGCAGATGTCATTTAGCCAAACTCCTCAAAATGTGCTGTGAAGAAACCAGATATACTTTGGATTTCTGTAGCTGTGACTAGTCAAATCATAAGCAATGAATTAAAGAATCAATCTCACTGGAAGCTTCTCCCCTGAAACATGCAAGAAGCAGCAATTATCAGTCCACAGTAAATACAGTTCCCAGTAATGAAAGTGCTGTCCTTGACTCTGCTAATTTCTTCTTCATTTCTTTTAACACCTTTTAACTTATTGGTCATCTTGATGTGCTCTTGGCTATTTCCCTTTCCATACCACATTTCCTTTATCACGTAAAGGTCTTGTCTACAGGAATGTTACATTAGAATAGCTGTTATTAACTCTCCCTAAAATGTCTGTTGTCTATGATAACCTGTTCTTAAGTCAATTTAATTAGCATAGCAAGTCTTAATAAGCAGTCCTTTTTGGAACAAGACAGATTAACTCACCAGTTTATTCATGTTGTGAGTCATGCACACTTACTCCCAGCTATGCAGTCCTGATGTATTGATGGAAATCCCCAAACCACTCTCACTCACATCACTGATACTTTTACAGATTGACCTGTCCATATAGCTGTAGGTCCTCCACTGCTCCAGCATCATCTTCGTCAGCTCTCTCAGCTCTCTTTGGGACAGCAAAACTCCAATACCAGTTACTTCCAACACCAGTTAGTAGCAGTCATACTACTCCCTGTTTTCCTGTGGAGTTCTGCAAGTATTTGGATGTTATGCAGTTTTCCCCTGCAGAAATCCTGAAGCAGAAATAGGGAGAGAAATAGGTATTGGGGAAGACTTCTGCTCAAGGACCAGCTTGAAGATGGTGTACTAACTCATTTAATGAACTTTAATACATTAGGCAAATTTAAGATGGCTTTTCAAGGTCCAGCTGCTTGATTGGTTGCTTCCAAGAGTTTCTCTCTGCCTGGCTAGTATATAATTCCTTAGCACCCAAAGGCTTACGACATTTCATCTTTGCCCAATGTGATTAACATTTTATCTGCCCTGCTGCACTAGATTTCATGAAGTTGCTAGCTTTACTCCGCTGCAAGATGCTTCTTGCTCAGAGTCCTTGCCACTTCTCTAATACCCCAGCCTGCCCTGGAAGAAGATGGGAAATGTAAGATGAAACACAGTGCTTAGCCTGCTCATTTGTTGTATCTGCAGATATTTATAAAAGAAAAACAGAACAGGTTCCATAGATCACAGTTTCATTGGTACTCTCAGTTTTTACTGCTTTGAAAATTCATAAAGTGCAGCATGCAGTTCAAGCACAGAATAATTTCAAATTTTATACAATTTAAAGCCATTATAAGTAATTCCATTATAGCAAAGAGTTCTATAAATTTCTCTTTCTACTTCCTGGTAATTGCAGGCATCAGACATACAAAACACAATTTGGAAGAAATGCTACAAGACAAGGTAGCCATTTAGGAGTGTTTGGATAGTCTTTTCCATTCACTTCCTTGCAGTAGCTGATGGGGTTACTGTCTTGATAAAAACCAGTATTGAATGTTTTCCTGGTTTGACCTCTGTCTTTATGAATGAGCATAATCTGTACTTCCTTAGGCTGTGCCTTGGAATACCATTTTCTCCTGGAGGTGAACCTACAGGAGGATGTAGATAATAACTTGCTCCCAGCTGCTCTCCACTTAATTGACGTGAGGACAGTCAGTAGCTCTCCATAACCTGAAATCAATGTGGTCATCCTGACCTCCATCAGGTCTCTTCCCTCTTCTGCAGCCCACAGCCAGCAGCCAGCAGCCACCCGCTATGGGAAGTCATGCGTAAAATGTCTTGGGAATCTCAGAGGAGGCAAGACACTAGAAAAGGCACTCTAATGTCCTGTGGAAACAAATATTTTATCAGTCTTATTGTAGTGGTTAGAAAAGGAAAAAGAGGAACCTGTTCTCCTGCGTGCTTCTCTTTGGCCTTTTCACATCACAGCTTGTGGGAAAGGTGGAAAATTTCAGAGATACAGCACAGTAACTGGAGGCTTCAAACACTCAGTTGAGGCATAAGGGTCCTGTGGGGTGTTTTCCAAATCCTGAAGGTCCAAACAGTGCTAATGCAAAGTGCCGTGCTCTAACCTATGAAGAGACAAGCAGAGTTATCTGGAATACATTTTGAGACAAGATATTTAATCACATAATTCCAACTTTTTAGTGTCCTACAAAAAAGAACAGGACCTTTCTAAGGCCACCACTGTCACCATCCCACCAACACCTCACTGCAAAGACTCTTGCACTGGAGGGGCAAGCAGCCTCCACGAACACGAGTGTCCTGCCTCATTTCTGTTGGGCATTTGTGCACCCTTCCTTAACTGTTTCTATTCCAGAAGCAAAGTATAACTTATGCATTTTGCCGACTCAATAAATAATTTTGATATGGCCCCATCAAAATCTTCTATTGACAAACAGCACAACTAGAAACATGACAATTCCAAAACCTCCAAATCTTGTTGGTTACACTACACAACAAAAGCAAAATTTGACAAGTCCTCACATCAAAATCACACTCAGAGCTGAAATAAGGTGAAATCATGTGGCCTCCATGGCCTTCCCTCTGAGAGGTTCTGGAGGCCCAATCTTGGGCAGGAGCTGTGAAGACAACAGTGCTTGCACAGCTATGATCAGAAAGACCAACCCTTAGCAGGAAAACTGTGAAGAGCAGATATGATGCCAGGTGCTGGTCGCACTCCTGAGTTACACCAGCAGCCACCTTACTGTCCCAATCTGCTGCCAGTGACTGCACTGCCTGACTTGTCTTCTGCAGCCAGTGACGGTTGGACCGCGTTCAGCATTTCAACAAAGGGGATGCAAATTTCTCCTAGAAACAACTCACACCTGCTTTTCCTCCACATATTCCCATTTCTGGCTATACATCTGAGTTACAAACTCATGTGCAGAAATGGGGACACATCCTGTAGCGTGCTTGGTTAGGTCTATTGTGTGGCCCTTCCTTCACCTAAAAATTAGTTAAGCTTTAATGTCTCCTTCCGGGCAGCAGCATCTCAGACAGAAAGGTTTAGCTCCAAACCGATAGTAAGAAAATATTATTTCTCCTCATTTCCCTGGTGAGGAGGAATAATAGAATAAAAAAAGCTTGACAGAATTCAGCTTTTTGAAGAATAGTTGTAAGACCATAAGCATTGAACTAACCAGACATCAGTCAGGAGAATTGTTACTAAATAAACCAGGTATATGGGGCTTTGAGCAGCCTGGTCTCGTGAAGAGTGTCCTTGCCCATGGCAGCGGGTTTGAACTGGGTAATCTTTAAGATCCCTTCCAACCCAAATCATTCTGTGATTCTGTGGTCTGTCTTTGGTCCCAATAGGTAGAGCTCCACACCTCGGCCACATCTCTGCTTCATGGATCAAGTATAATCTCCACTCACTACAAGTTCCCATTAAAATCTGGCCCTATTTAGACATCGTGCTATCCAGAAGTAGAGATAGTGAATGTTTTTTGGCAACTGAAATGTAAAATCTGTACTCTGGAATATATCAAGGACAAGAAAAGTTCATTCTGCAGTACACTATCATAAAAATACATATGCCTGCATGCTTGAGCCAGACTAAAGCATGTCAGGCAGGGAAGGAGTATCTCAAAGGGTGTTAGCAAGATGAGTTATTACACCATTAGGCAGAACCGTTTATTGTCAGTCATCTCTGATCCCATTCCTTGCCTCCTCCTTGTTCCCTTGGCACACCATTATTTGCAGTTGCTCTCCTACCACCAGAAGCAAGGTAGATTATGTCCAGAAACCAAAGGCTGAGCAAGAGGCAGCCTGTCTTGACTGTCCAAACAAGATCCATGACGACGCAGCCCTTGGGAAGAACATGAGCATGAACAGACAGATCAGAGTAATTAATTTCTCTCCAAGACAGACCTGTTGCTGGCCAGTAAAAGAATGGCAGTGCCCTGTGGATCAGACATCCTGGCTTTTGGCTGCAGCTGTGATGGGAGAGGCTGATGGGGGGAGAGAGTCATCCTGCCTCATCTTTGTCATCTGCACATCCCCAGGGTCCAGAAGTGTCCTGTGAGGAATAGCACACCTACCCAGTCCTCAGGGTTTCTGCTGGCTGATCATTATCCATTACTTTGACCACTTTTGAACCTGCTGCTGCCATCAGATGCTGATGACTGAGTGTGAGGCAGGCAGGAGGGCTGGTGGTGAGAGGGAACAAGCCTTCTCATGGGGCTAAACATGCGCATGCTTGCGTCATGCATCAGGAAAAGCAATTCTTTCACATCACTACTGTTTTTTTGCAGAAACCATGTATGGAGTAAACTCTTTCCACCAATTCCAACACCCAGCAACAAATTCAGAGACCCCTTCCCAAATAACTATCAGGTAAAACAACATTTTAGTCACTTGTTTCTTTTTTTTTTTACTACAAGGAATGCTGTGTTTGTGTGCTGCTCCTTCCCTGGAAGGATGGGACCATGTAGACCATTACTGCTCAGTTAAAGCCTTTGACCTCTTAGAATCTCTAATCTCTAGATGTGGACTACGCTATCAAATGTGTTGTGCAAAACATGCCAAGTGGGAAATGCAGTTAATGTGATGATATGCACAGCCTGACTATAACACAGAGTTAGCCATTGAATTTAGCAATCTGTGAGGCTGTTCTTGCAATCATTAACTACTGTGGTCAGTTCTCACGTAGCTGTGTGGCCACCTCATCTGCAGAGGGCAGGTCCCCATCTGCAGTAGCTCTGCACCTGGCTTTGTTTGTAGATGAAATGTTTTGGGGAGGGTTAACGATGAACAAAAGGGTTAAGTGCTTTTCTAATATGCAACAAATTTCAGGTGCATGGTGTGGTATGGCTTTGCCTTTTGTATGGAAATACAGTTGCTCCTTCCACTGAGCACAGCCAGGCAGATAGTTCTGCCTTGGACTGGAGGTTGACACCTGGAGAGCTGATTTATTTTGTGAAACCTAACAATGGGCAATGTTGTGGTCTTACTGTTAAGCTGATCTCAAGCCTTATTTTGTTCGCTGTTACTTCCTGATAAATACATTTGCCTTACAGATAAGATAAAACTCCTCATTGTCTGCTCAAGGGAAGTGCTGCTCAGTAGCTTGATTTTAATTTGTCCCCTTAGAATAGGGGTTTGATATTTTGTGTATTGTTCTTATTCCATGGTCTGGTCAGGGAAACAGGCTTAAAAGATTATCATATAATATTTGTTTTTAATTAAAACCACTGGTGTAAAGTAACATGACTTAGGGTATCACAAATAAGAATACGAGAAATAGCAAATAGTAACATTGCAGCTAGAATACGTGAGCATGCAAAGGCTGTTTCTCATTATCAAAAACAGCTTTGCCTTGTTTTTAACTGTCTCTTTACTCAGAGCTAGCTCAGCGCAGGTAGGCGATACTGGCTTGAGGCTTTCTACTGGCACCATGGCTGCATGGGCAGTGACACTGGCAAGGAGAGGTGAGGACGTGGCTCTGCTGAGATCACCAGGAAAGTGAACCTTCAGCAGCTGTTTGCTGTGGGCATTCAGTTCCTCAATTTGCAGTGTAAACAGCTGGACAACGTGACGAAAGCCCTGCGCAGTGATGGCAGTGTGGCCCTTGAAACTGCACTTAGCCCTGAGGAGCAGCTCTGCCTCCCACTGGGCTACTGCTTTCTGCTTCCTTCTGCGAGTCACCCCATCTCTGCACACTTGTTTGTGCACCCCACGCAGAAATCACTGACACATCCCTGTATTATCAGCACTGTTTCCATCACAGATCCAAAACACAACCCATACTAGCTGCTACAAAGAATATTAACTCTATCCCAGCCAAAACCAGCGCAACCTCCCTGTTCACCAGCTAACAGCAGTGTTTGCTTTCCAGAGAGCACATACCTGCACCAGTGAGACAGAGACTGAATTCAGTAGCTTTGCTGAAGATCTCTACTGCAATGCCCTCAATGACCCTGTCTTCTGACAGTCTGCAAGGCTGGTGAGGCTGGTGGCCCTGGCACATCGCTGGAGTGGGCTTCATGTCACCTTTGCTGCAGCGATGTTTCCTGCAGGACAGGAAGACTTGCTTCCACAAGGTGCCTTGCGTCATGATAAGCTACTCAACAAAATGTCCCAGTTTGTACAGTCTGCACAACAAAGTAGGCATTTGTAATATCTTGGTTTCCCTGGGGCTTAAGCATCCCCAGCTTTTGGCTGTGTGAAGCTGGTGGGTGCTGCGAGACCCCGACCAGTATGAAATGAGAGCTTCACTTGTGTTCCTCACACTCCTTTCTGAATGAGGGAATGTCTCTGGAGCGGTGGGCTCTGCAAGAATGGCTGTCTGCCTCCCTGGCTTCTCACTCATCTTCAGTCCAAGGCTCCTTTGCAGGCTCTTGCCTTTGACATGAGCTGGCATCATCTACAAAAGGACAAGAAGAGATCGTTTGTTCTTCCTAGCACAAGAGGTTAAAGCTTAAGGGGAGAAAAAAAAAAGAAACAGAAAACAAAAAAGGCACCAACTGCAAAACTTCCTGAATTGCACCTACAAAACAATACACAGCTTGAGAGTGCAGAGTTTTCAACTGTACAGCAATAAGAAAATGCGCCAAGGACTTCTCGGTGCTCTTAAAGAGGCTGAGCTGCAAGGAGCTGGGCTTCTCCTTCATGCACAGCTTCAGCTGCTTTCAGGTGATTTTCAAAATCCAAACCCAGTATTGGAACTGGTTTTCTTCACTGCTTTTCCATCTTCAGTGAACAGGGTTTGGACAGTGTCAGTTTCTGCTGGTGGTTTGTTTACTTACCTTGTGTCCTCCACTGAGTGAGTTACCAAATAAACCTCCTGCCTCAAACCTCTGGAACAGCTCAGGCTTCAACCTTTCTGGCTGTGGACCACAAAGCTCTCCTCTTCTTGAGAAGTCCCTGCTACTTCCAAGCAACCTCCTGCCTCTTGAGCTGGGGCAGCGGTGAGGTTTAACACATTAACAAAGAAAAAAGAGAAAGATTTGACCCAGCAAGTAAATTGTTTGGGAAAGTGCCTAAGGTAATGGAGTTCCTAGGTACTACAGACTAGAAATAATGAATGAGCCAGCTCTCATCTGGGTGAAATAGCATGGCTCCATCAAAATTAATGTAGCTCATTAATAGAACAATGTTTGTGCCTCAGACGTCTCTCCTGTATTATGATTTTAATGGATTTGGGGAGCCCAGCTTTAACAATCTAAAATCAGAATTTCATTAGTAAAATCCTAAAAAATGAGACTAAAGAGAATTCATTTACTGTGATGTATTTTATGTCATGCCTTCAAGTGGCCTAATAAATAAGATTTCTAAATATAATTTCAGTCACATTAATGGCAAGATATTGTAGAGATTAAAGCAATATATTTAAGCATATTTTGCATTTGAGCTGTACCTCTGGCCATGTGAATACTAGTGAAGGCAGCAGCGGCCTCAGGAGCCAAGGCATTCCTGGTAGCTGGCAGGGAAAAACATGCCTTTGGTTTTTGGTGTCATCTGTGGTAAGGACTTGCATCACCGCAAAGCAATGCAAATACCTGCAACAAGCTGATTATGGTGAGAAAACCTCTGCAGATGTTCATCCAGTCAACAATGGCACATCAGGTCCTTGGGATGAGTACCCCTGGGGACAGGCAGGGCTTGAAGACTGGCAGGTATGCGTTATACTTGCACTGATAAATAAAACTGAGCTGTTGGAAAGCAGCAGGAGTATCTCCATTCTCCCTGCCAGGCCACTGGTCCAGCCTGCTCATCCTAACTGGCAGCCCAGCGCTGCCCCTTGCAGGGGTGTAATGGGGGAACCTCTCACGTTTGGTAAACAGCTACCGTGCAGGACCAGAAAAGCAGTTCCTGGCAGAGCTGCCTCCTCACAGCCATCATACCCGGAGCAGACTGCTGTCCTTCCAGGCGGTGGGAGAGGAAAGGGAGCATGTTCAGCACGTCCAGAGAATCTGCTATCACTGCCAAATGCAGGTCTGCAGTGGGGATCGTGAAGAGGAGAGGCCCCGCTCAGGGTCGCATGTCACATTCTGCCACTCTTGCCCAGCCCACCCTGCCGATGAAGGTTACTGCGCTGACTCTGGGACAGTTATGAGTTCTGTGTCCAGAGCATAAAGAAATATTCATTCTGAGTGTCTTTTCTTTAAATCCAGTTATAAACCTCATGTATTCCTCCCAATGCTGCTTTTTCCCGCTGCCTCCACAACAGTGGCTGCAGGAGTGAGTCCCTCACCCACCTCTACCCATGGCAATGTTAAATTTGCCTTTTAAAAACTGAACTACGTCTTGGGGCTATTTAATTTTTTGGCATCATCGATTGCAAAGCACAACATTGCTCCTTTGCAATGCAGAACATGATCCTATAACTCCTGCGCTGTCAACCCTAAAATCCAGAACTAGGAATGCAGATTTGGTGGCTTTAGCAATTTCAATCAACGCTCCTCCAAATCCTCAGAAGTCTGCGGTGGGGTGGGGTTTCCCTGGGTCCAGGTCAGCTCCTGAATGAAGCTGCTGTCTCCCACCCTGCTCCCAGCTGGCTGCGGCCAGACCCATGATCAGCAGGAGGGTAATGCCAGTTTTGCCTTTTTGTTCCAAACTGCAGAAGGCCCCACTCTGACAGTACCAACCCACACAAGTTTGGAGAGGTTGTGACACTACTTCAATAGACATTATCACCCCAAATTCACTCATGAATATTTTTTTTTTGTCAGTTTGGAAGCAGAATTAGACCAAAGATTTATAAATAGATTTTTTTTCTTCCTGCCTCCACAAAGTTTTGACTTAATCCAACAATTCTTTGGTATCTTCATGTCAGTGACCATCTCAGCAGGCACTAGCTACTGCAGTGATGAAGTTTGTTACTGGGCAGAATGAAACACGGAGGAAAAATGCTCCTGGAAGACAGGTATCTTTACAAATGACAGAATATTTATTACCAATACCTTTAAAAAAAGATTACATCTGCTAGATCACTGATAAATATCATTTACACTGGGGAGAAAACTACAGCAGCTTCTTTTTTTTTTGTTCCATTTTTCTTGGTTTTGTAGTTTTTTTCTGTTTTTTTCTTACTTTTACTTTTTACATAGAAGTAACCATATCAAACTAAGAAAGGAACACAGCTTGAAATACTGACAATATTTCTCTGGTCAACACCCCTGACTTTTACACAAGTGGAATCCTGATTATGAGTTACTGAATAAATATATTTAGAAGGTCTAAAAGTTAACTGTATTATTTTGTAAGCAAAAAAGACAAGTTACAGGCAAATTCAAGCTATCAGGAAAAAAAAAAAGTAATAATATACCACTGCAGCGCATTTAAACTTGAAAATTTTATAGAAAATTCCATTTCCTTTGACTAGCATTATCCCATCTGAGTGAACTTACAAAATTACCCCATAGTAACAAATGGTCCTTCTCTTAAGAAGAATTATTTTGCTGTGGATATTGTCGTTTTCCGGCGTGACTCTATTTTACCTCAGGTGCCTATGAAGAGTTTTCATAAGGAAACACGGACTTCTTAGGAGAGAACTACCAGAGATCCCACCTTGCCATGCACTACCCACACCTCCCTGAAGCACGGCACAGCTCCTCTGAGGCTCCTGGTCCAGACCGGACTTCCCAAGAGTTTTCTACACGGTGGCATATGAAAGATGATTAGTTATATTCCAATGCACGTGGAAAGCAGCGCGTGTTTGGACAAGCCCAGAGCAGCTTTTACATCTCGGGGTCGCTGTATCCTGATTTCCTTGGAATAAAATTCCCAAAGTGAGGTGGCCTTCACTGGCTTTACACCCAAAGGTGAGAACCATGTTGTCGGATTGCTCCTTCAGGTTCCTTTTTGTCACTTGAGGCAGAGATCGCACCTTTGCAGTATCTTCATTCCTACCCAATTTAATGCTACACATGATAAAGACAAAGCTATTTCAAGACAGTAAAATGGACCCTTGCTGCACAATGCCAGAATATTAGCTACATGTCCTGTAGTCCACAAGCAACCAAATTTCATGTACTTTTTCAAGGTTATAGTGTTCTTACTGAGTATTTAGAGTTTGACTTGCTTAGACCTCTGAATAAAATGCAACATCTTGTGTGTTATAAGCACTTGATTCAACACAAGACTCATCATAACTGCCAGTTAACTATAGCCGCATTACAAACCCAATCTGGAACAGTTCTGCCTTGTGTAGCCTTGTAAAACTGTACAGTAAAGTTGCAGCCAATTTACTATGAACAACGTTGAACTCTCCATCAGAAAGGAAAAAATTCCAAACAATATTTCCATGGTAATGTCGTCCATAGCATTTTATAGCAGAGGAAAAATTAATATCTACATCATATGTTAACTTTAAAAAATTCTATAAAACACTAAATATATAATAAAAAATATGCATATAAGGACATATGTAAACTGCTTTGGTAACATCATATTACAGATGTTTTCAGTGCATTGCAGAGTTTCCAAGGAAACTTCAGACAAAGCTATATTTGCTTTGAGGAAGTACTGTATAATGCCATTCCTAAAGAAGCATAAACATTTTTCCAGTAGTAAGATGTACTCAAACCACAATATTACTTAGTACTGGGTGTCTTCAAAACAACTAGCTAAATGTTGCTTATATTATAAACGAGAAGTCCTTTATGTGATTTTTGTCATAAACTGGAGCGAGCTGTGAGCGATATCATTATCGTGCTGATGGCTGACAGTGTACAGGCATTGGAGGTGGATGAGCCGGATCCTCTTGCGTATGCATCTGAGCAAAGGAAAGAGGGGGAGAAAATGAGCCAGTGGTGACAAGAGCAGCCCTCATTAACCCCAAACCCAAGAGATTAATTCTGGCTCCTCCAAGGAAGTGTGGTGGTGGCCGGGAGGTCAGACCCCACATAACCTCCTTTTCACTGCACTTCACCTCTCTAACTGAGTTTTCCATTGAACTCAAATTCCTGCTGCTGTTGTGTTGAGGCTACTTACAATTGTATTACTTCAGGGCCTGTTTACTTATTATTTTATTTTTCTTACAATTGTACTACATTCAAGCTGTTCCTTATGGCACCAGCCTGGAGCAATCCGCATCCCGGAGGAGCTGTGTACCTGTGCCCACTGTGCTGAGCCAAATAAGAACTGGCATGTGTTCCTCCTCTCCTACCTCTCCTGTGTCTGCTGATTAAATTCCTCTGTATGGTTTATATAGCCACAGTGTACAACCATGGTGAAGAGAATTCTGATCTCACTCAGGGTTTTTTACATTGCTGTAATTTTAATGCCATATTCCTGCATTGCAGAGGCTCCTGATTTAATGCAGCTTATAAACTGTGGCATTATTAATGGAAGATGGGACATGGAGATTTTGCAAAAGCAATGTTGTGTAATAAAATACTCTCTTGCCTGTTTGTTCTTCTACACAACCTCATTTCCCTAAATACATATTTATGTATCCAACACACAATGGAATATGGCTATACAGTAGCCTTATAAATTTAAAACCTCTATACACTGCATTTGATATTTTGTTACAGTGAATTGCAGTGAAACAATATATTGTACATATATACGAGTAGGGAAGTAAGAGAGTGAAAAGTGTCTAGAAAAATACAAATATAACTACTTATGATGGCATTTCTTATGGTTTAATCTTGATTCAGTATGAAATCAGAAATGTGGGCCAGAGTGACCACTGGTCCCAGGTAAGTCTGGGTTTCAGCTCCCTGCCTGGGAAATGGCCAGACTTACAGCCCGGCCCTTCTCTGCTTCATCCTGCTTCTAGGTGAAAACAGTGACGGGGTGAAGCAGGTCTGCCCCAACAGCAGGGATAGAGGGACTGGGGATCCCAGAGCGCCCATGCGGGACCCTGGTTCCTCCCATCCTTACTTGATATCTTTGGAATTCGGATTTGTTCACTGCTGCTGCCGTCACCCCCATCGCTGATCGGCTTTATCTCGATGATGTAGTCCTCATCGAATGGCAGCGAGAGCTCCACGGAGGTTTTATTCGTTTCTATTACAGATGTGCTGCTCTGCCTGTTCCACCTGTACAAAACCTGCAGCAAAGGGGAGAGAGAAAAGGGGGCAGAAATGGCAGAGATGGCCATTGCCCCAAGGTCGTCCAGATCTGCTGCTGCTCTTTCCCTGCCTCTGATGGTCAGACACATGGCCTGGTCTCAGAGGGGCTGCTGGGGTTTTGCTGGGGACTCAGCACAGCAGTGACAGTGCTTGGGGTGGGGAGGTGACACCGGGAGGAGGGTGATGCCCATGTGCAGTACCAAACAGCACAGGTAGCTGGGGGAGCACCTTCATGAAATCTTTAACTTTATGAAGCTAAAATAAATCCCAAGGCTAATTTATAGAGGCCAGAAACTCATTATTATGTTTCTTCAGGGAACTAGGTTGAGGTATTTGATGCGGTGCCACAAATGGCTTCCCAGAATAAATGATTTTTTTTGAATGGTCTTCTAAGATCTGGGAATTTTACTAATTTAGATCAAAAATTGTGACAAATGCCAGAAAAAAAGATGAAAAATGGGCAATGTTTTGCTATGGTTCAGGAAAGAAATCAGTCTGGCTGTGCTATCCCATCAGTAAGTTAAAAGAGGGCTTCTTAGAAACCCACTAGACAGGGTTTGCTTTTTCAGGGTGATGAATCTCTCCCATCCTCTTTCAATTGACAACTTAATTTGCATTTCAAACCTAAAATACGTAGTGAAAAGTTGGTCCAAACTGCTGAGATTCATCTGAGGTTTTAACTAAAAACCCCGAGGAATTACTTCTTTTTGATAATCTGATACAGTGCACCAGAGATACTTAAAAGCTAGTGCAGAAATTCAGGAGAGCTGGTACAGGCTGGTAAAGCCAATGCCGCTGGCATTCCAGATTGTGAACAAAATACAAAGCATGTCCAGGCTCTTCATCATTTCAAGCTGTGGTGGGAAATGCTTGCACGACTCAACCCTCAAGACAATGGCTGGCAATTGTACACCGATGTCTTCTTTAGGCCAAATTAAACCCTTGTGGAAGGTGACAGAGCTGAATTTTTCCCAAGATTTCTCTCCGGTTAAATTATACCCTATTAAAACTGCTTCTAATGAGGATGCTCTTTCTTTTCCTTTTCGCTTTGCTTTCTAAAGAAAATGGGAGCTATTAAAAAAGCATTTTATTTGTCTGCAATTAAGGAGTCAACTACAGCCTTTGGAAGGTTTCCACCGAAGGCAGGAGAGCAGTCCTGCAGGTAGGAGCTTCTCAGGGAAGGAGCAGGTTGAGGTCTGTAGGCTGAGAAGGTACTCACTCTATACAGATATGACCTCTGTTTCTGGAAAACCATGTAAGTACCATGAAAAATGCCTTGTCTGGTCTTACTATAAACCCCTACTCGACACTGTATTCATGGAAATGTTCCCTGTAGCCCTATACCAGAACCCAGTGACAGCTACGCTTAGTGAGGATTTGCTGCAGGATCAGGGAGTGATGAGTGAGCTGGTGGAGGGCAGTGTTGTCCGGCTGCCTGTGCTAACAAAATACTCACTTTGTAGCCTCTCACTTCTGACTCGTTATCCAGTGCTTTCACTTGGTCCCAGTTCAGTATGATCTTGGAGTCAGATGAATTCCATATGATGTTTCCAGGGGGCTGACTCGGTGCTATATAAGAGTATACACAGCACTGTATTATTAAGGAGCAATGTTTTCCTGTTGGATCCCTCCCAGTAAGGCTTCCCCCACCATTGCTGAGCATGCCTAGAGCCCTATCACTCTGGAAAGCTGATGAGCTGTTTCACTGCTCTGTGTCCTCAAGGTCACAGAGGTGTGACACAACACAGTGCTCTAAATGAAAAAGGATTCGGTCAGTTGCTCAACATGCCTGAGACCAAAAGAAGAAAGCCCTCTTGAACGACGAGATAAATATTTAATTTGCCTGCACAGCTGTGATTCAGTTTTGCATGCTCTGCTTACTTAACACGGGGAAGAGCCTCACAAAAAATAAAAGGCGGTTGCTAAGTCTTCTGCACAAAAACCCAGCAAAGAAAAGCCTGACAGCTCCTTCAGACTCAGCAAAGCCTGAAAATGAGAGAGGAGAGCACAAGCAGAAAGCCTCCCAGGCAAGAGGCCCCCATCCTTGCAGACACTCACGTGGCTTTTTGGTGGTGACATTGACTGCGGCACTAGAGGGGCCGGTCCCAGCCGTGTTGTACGCCCTGACTGCCAAGTGGTACAGCGCGTTGCCTCTCAGGTTGCTGACTTTTGTAGATGTTTGATTGCCAACCGTCCGAATCCTTTTTGCGTTCTCTTCCTTTTCGTCATGTCTCCAACATCTGACCTGAGAAGCAGAGCAGGTACGTGTGCTTATCTCCAGCTACAGGCTGGCACACCTGTCGTTTCCAGCACTAACTGTGGCACTGCTGCCCAAAGTGCAAGAGCCATAGGGACAGAACTTGCACCCTGCTACAATGCTTTCTTGGTCCTAGCTAGAAACACCCGCCTGACTGCAGTGCTCCCTCCCCAGCACCTCAGACACTGCCTGGCCATGGAAGCACTTTCATGCAGATTTCTCTCAGCAACCTCTGCTCTCAATTTTCAGCCAGATCACACACAGAAAGATGTATAATTATTTACCGTGTGACAGAAATCTCCACATATTGAAGAGATAAAAGGAACCAAATACACCACAGGAACCCACATACCCTATGGCCGGCAGGAGCAGCACTGCAATGACTGCCTGTGATGTATCTCTGTTTCTCTTTAAGGCTTAGTACTGAGGCTGTGTTGTGTTTCCATACCTCATATCCCTGTATTCTTCCTTTGTGCTGGTTTTCCCAAGGGGGAGCCCAAGAAACTTCAACATCTGAGGCAGAAAGACTTCTGGCCAAAACAGTGGTTGGGGGTCTCGTTGGCTCTGCATAAGAGGAGTTAAAAATAAAACACAGAGTTCTCACTTTTATGTTCAATTAGTCCCAGACTTCAAGGGATTTATTTTCTTTATTGCATGAGAAAAGAAGCATGCGACCAAAATAAACTTCCACATTTCATAACAATGGCCTGTCAGCCTCTGGCAGACAGCACCGCTCCTCTACCTAAGAAATAATAAGATGTCATTACTAAACTCAACCCAGGATACCATGTACTGTAATTAGGACAAGAGGGAACATTTTCTAATCAGTGGACATTAATTCATTCCAAATCTCGGAGGAATTCTTCCCAGATTACATATTACTTTTCCATTAATATCAAAAGATTTCATTACGATTAATGTTATTTTAATGACTATGAAAAGAATTAATCACGGCTCGCCATTTATTATAAATCAGAGCAAGGATTAGGTATCAAAGGATATGTCAAGGTGGATACAAAACCCTTTCAGACCCGGCCAACCCCCTCCATGTCTAGCAGCAGGGAGGAGGGAGAGGCGGTGGGGTGGGCTCCTGGCTCTACCTTCTTCTGCTGAGTAGACGACGGTCACGGGGCTGAATGACCCTTCCCCCTTGTTGTTGTAGACCCCCACTTTAACTTCATAGGGGGAGAAGGGCGGCAAGGTCTCGTTGCGGAAGACGTATCTGGCGGCATCTGGGGAGGCCACGACGGTCTGCATCCAGCTGACGGTGCCAAAGGGGCGGAAGGCCACCACGTACCCAAAGCCGCCTCCGTTCTGCAGCTCCTCAGGCACTGTCTGTGGGCAGGCAGACCATGGGAGAAACAGCACTGTCAGCAGTGCCATGCATTTATCTCCCTGCCTGCATGCTGGCTAACGCCTCTGCGTCCTTCTAAAGCTACTGTGCTAGACAGAGCATTGGAGATGGGAGGTGGCTTGAGTCCTGCTTTGCATCTAACCTGAATTCATCCCATCCTGTCTGTGCTAGAGCCTTCCTGCTCTGCAAGCTCCCTCTAGGCAGGGGTGAAAGAAGCACCTCCAGAAGACACTTCACCTAAGACTTAATTCACCTTTGTAGACGCCCACCTTCCTCACTGGCTAGATGGAGCCTCCAGTAACAATGTCAGTAATTCCAGGCACTGCAATGACCAAAGGCCTGAGGTTTGTTGGGCTGAACTAAGGACATGATTCCTGATTTCCCAATACACATGCAGCTGCTCTCATGTCTTTGGAATTGCACGTGAAGCCCTGAAAAACACATCCTCACAATGTCCCAGACAGCATGGGGCTGGTGATCCCTTGCTGGCCTGTTGCCACACAGTGACCCAGACCAGGCCAGCTAACTCTCTGCGTCCTGTGTGACATGACCTGTAAATAGACCATGATGGCAGGGAGTGACTTGTAACAAACATGATGGAGAAGGGCAGGTAAGTGCTAGGTAACCGCTAGAAGAAGCAACCTGTCACCTCCTTGTCACTTCTGGATACACTGATGCTTCCTACCCTCAGCCTTGCAGCCCCCTAAAAGCTGCATCGAACCCCAAATCTTCGATGTATTAAAATAGTCTCTAATTATGGGCCCCTCTCCCACAGATGTCCATGGTGCTTAAGCACGTGAAGGGGTTACTTTTCGGTGACTGCTTATTTCTCTGTACCGAAAATCCTGAAAAATACACCAGAACATAAAGAAAAGGCCTCTGGACATTTAAAAGACTAAACTGACTGTTCTATCAAAATACTAATTATATTTTGTGCAAATTACGTCTCAAGTCAATGGCTGATGTTCTTGCCATGTGTGTTTTTGAAACATATTGCAGTATCTATAGGAGACACAGCGTAGCTAATTAGTCCAACAGAGGAGGAAATTTAGCACATTGAGCTGTGTGGTAAGGACAAAATCCCATTTATAGTTTTTTAATAACCTTAAAAATATCTCTGGTGATTCATTCTGCCAGCTTGGTCAGAAATAGAGCTAAGTGGAAGTGTTAGCGTGTCCAGTGAAGTTCATTATTCAGAAAAATATGCCAGCTGCATCGCATTGTAACATGAAAATACGAGCAGACAAATGACTAAAGTTCTAACCCCAGCTGCCTTAAGGAATATTAAACATTTTTCATCTCTGCATCTCCTCTTGCTGGCTTTCATTAGCAGTGATGAAAGCCAGCATGCAACGCACTGTGCTCTTAACTATTTGCTGCCATATATCCCAGCACAGGGATGAAGGATGAAGCTTGGGAGCCAGCCACAAGGATTCTCAGCCGGGTCAGGACATTCCATGTCTGGCCTCACAAACTCCGTTTTATCCCTCAGGTGGTTCCTGCCCATCTGTGTTTTGCCATATGAGTACAGATGTGCTTAGAGTCGGGGGAACTGAGCTTGGGTCCAAGCAACGATGTGTTCCCCGTGGTCCCCTGCACAGCACTTCTCTGCTGGCTTCCCTGCACAGGGGCCTGGGGAGGGGAAGAGGTTTAGCTCTGTTATTTTTATCACACAATCTGGGCTTTTTTACTGCAAGCCATTTGAAATCTACAGAACCTTCACTGGTGCAGGGTGAAAAGGTGCATTTAGGTCAGGACCATATTAATGTTCGCCTCTGTTTGGACTCCACTTACCTCCCAAGTAATGACCAGCTCAGACTTGCTCCCTCCACCTCCACTGACGTTAGCTGGGGTCACTTCAGGAACTGCAAAAAAAGATGCAGAAGATGCAAGTGGCAACTTTGAAACCAGAAAAGCGCATTGAAATGGAACAGACCTACACAGCAACAGAACTCTGCTGGCCTGCCCCTGCTGGGTAACAGAAACACTATTAGGAAATGCCTAATTTGCCATGGCAAACAGCATATTAAAAGTATGTCAATAATAGTATATTAAAAGTATGCCAATTAACTGGTGTGTTCAGTCACTAATTGTTTAGTTTAAACATTTATCGTCCATGAAAAAGGGCTTTTGTTTTCCTATTTCATATTCTATTCCATTACAGCCTGAAGGATAACAAAGGAGCCACTTACCAGGGGTTTCCCATAGCCTAAACACATATCCCTGCAACCACATGCTGAGTCTATACCTTGCTGTGACCCCTTTCTGCCAGGTCACAAGACAGGGACAGCATGAAGGAGCATTAAAGCTCTCATGGTTATGCTGTGCCTGCAGCAGCCAGCAGAAACCGTGTGGTTCTAGGAGGTAGTGGTGTGCTTAAGAGCAGCCTTCAGTAAGTCTCTGAAATAATCCAGCTCACAGGGCAGCCCAAGATGATTGCTGCAACACTGATGACCCACAGGGTGAGGTCAAAGTTACTCCAAGAACCAGAGAAGCTCCCAGCATCAACAGACTGCTGACTCTGCAGTTGCGAAGCTCAAACTCCTGCTCTCAATGTGCTGTAGTCTGTTCCAGAGCTTCATAGCTCTTAAGGCTGGAGAGGACCTTAAGATCATTGAGTTCCACTCCTCTACTGCAGGCAGGGACACCTCACACTAGACCATTTCACCCAAGGCTCTGCCCAACTTGGCCTTGAACACCACCATGGATGGAGCATTCACCACATCTTTGGGCAACCCATTCCAGTGCCTCACCACCCTCACAGTAAAGAACTCCTTCCTTATATCTAACTGTATTTCCTCTGTTTAAGTTTAAACACATTACCCCTTGTTCTATCACTGAAGTTCCTGATGAAGACTCCCTGATGCCTTCCATCAGATTGATCATGGGAAACCAGAAAGACTGTTTCAGAGTCCATCTCTCTCATCAGTGGATACTGGGTAGCATTTTCCAAAAAACCCGCCCAAATATCTTTTGTGGAAAATCATTGCTTTCTGCAGGAAAAGGACATGAAGTCTTCTCATACTCCAGACACCATGAAGTGAGCAAAAGAGCCCATCAGGAGATCCACAACTTCCCCTGCCTATTCTGTGCACACAAATAACATGCCATGAGGGAGGAGAGCTATGGGCACATAAAGCGCTCCTCAGCTTCCTCCAGTGCAACACATCCATTAGCACTGATGAGCATTTATTTGACAAGATTTAACTCAGTTGCCCACCACTACTTACGAGCTTCCTCAGTTCTTCTCTTCTCTGAAGGTCTGCTGGGCTCTCCAATCCCAATCAGGTTGGCAGCCACTACTCGAAATTCATACTCGACCCAAGGGTTCAGGCCCACCACTGTTGCTGTGAACGTCCTGCCATCGATGATCTCTGGAACTAGGAGACAAACATGAGTCAGGAATGCAATGAAACCCACCCAAAGTATTAAAGATGCTGTGAAAAGGCCATGCATACCTGATACCCTTAAATGTAAATACAACGTGAATAAGGATTGATAGGCATTTTCTCTTTTTTTTCTATTTTTTTTTTTAACTGCAAAGAAGAGGCAGCATTAAAACATGTGCTTTTAGCACAGAAATTCCAGCTCTTACTGAGTTTTGCCTAAATTGCCACTTTTTGAAAACAAAATGTCAAGACAACAGGTTTAAAGGGGTTTTATTTTTCTCTTTTTAAAACACGCTGTTCCCTCTAGTTAATGGCTACTGGAACAAAATTAACCTTGGACGGAAAGAGAAATTACATCATGGGATTTTTCCCTCTATCAGGAAAATAATTCTACTTAAAGATAGGCCAGATGACACAGTCTGTCCCTGAGGGATGTCTTTATAGACCACAATTACTGTTGTATATCTCCAGAGCAGCAACAAAAGATAGGAATTCATTCTGTTTTCCCTTAAACATTCATGAGAAAAATGGATGAGTAATAGCGCAGACTGGACTCTAAATCTTTGGGTTGCCAAACTTGAAACTAGTTAATAAGACCAGCCCTGCAGCCAGGCAAATTACTTTTCACTTCAGAGTGCAGAGCTGCTCTGCTCAGCCGATGCATGGGTCCTGATGGATGTTTTCCAGGTAGGGCAATGGACCTACCTGTACTCACTGCTTGCCATCCCACTGAGAAGGGGGTCCTTGCTTGCACAACATACATTGTAATAGGGCTGTGGTTGTCTGCTCCTGGCCTCCAGGACAGCTGAGCGGTGGTGTCAGTGACTTCATCTATTGTCACAGCTTCTGGTGGACCTGGGGGACCTGTTGGAAGAATTAAAGGAGAGGGGTGCTTAAGGCTTTGCAGTGACTTGAGGAAGCAGCGCTGTGGTCTTCCTCCCTTACTCAGGACAGTGGCAACTGAGTCCCTGCAGAGGAGATAAGTGCAGCCCTAGCTGTGATTTAGCAGATGCCTAGATTTGGAGGCACAGGGGAGATACACAGATTCAGAGATCACCGGCTTCACCTGCAGCCCCCAGGTGCTCCACGTGTACCGAGCCCCATGGCAGACCTGAGCTACCATACAGAGTAAGGCACTCGTTGCAGTGCTCAGGATCAGCTCTGCCATCTCACATCTTCTGCTTTAGAAGTGGCCAATATACAACTGTGGTTTTTGGCTGCAGCCTGGATGCACTCAGAGGTTGGAGAAGAACAAAGGACCTGCCTGTAGGTAGCATCATGTCTGAGTAGGGACCAATATTTTCTGCTTCACTGCTGGGTCCTTTCTAAACAGTGGGATGTACATAGGAAAGAATACCTCTCTCCTGTATCATACAGCCATTTCTCTCAGCAGAGGTACCTCAGGTGAAGTCCCTACCCAAAAGAACCACCTCAAGCAGCAAACTCTCCTCTTGCAACTCACTCTGTGGTCTAAAATTATTCTCATACGATATTCTGAGAGATGGATGTGTTTAAATATCTAAAAATACCCCAAAACCTTCCAACATCCTGCCTTTAAAAGGAAAGTTTCAGCAGGTCTAGCCGGATTTAATTTCTCAGAAATTAAAACTTTAAATTCTTTTGCTGGGGGGAGCAGCCACTCAACACAGCCTCACAGAGCAGTCAGCTCCTTTGGTCCTGCGCTGCAAGTTATACCAGAGAAATGAAATCGCACTGTATGCTTCACAAATTAATCCCGCTGCTTGGCAGAGGCTGAAACCTGTCCTCACTTCATGTCTTGGAATAGCCATGGTTATTCCCCACATTTCAGAATGTCCTTCTTTGCAGGGTGCAGGCTACAGCAGGGAAAGAGAGGGAAAACTTATCAGTTATTGATTTAGCAAGTATTCCAGGGCTGCTGACAGACACGTGCTTCTGTTCTGATGGCGTGAGAAAATTCCACCCTGGGCAAGTGGCCTGATCTGTGTGTACCAGTGCCAGGGGTCACTTCTGTGTGCTCTCCTTTGATATTCCCTGACATAAATAATTCATTTTTATTCCAGTATCTAGTCTCTTATTAATCTGACATAACTCCAATATTTAAAAAACTCTAAAAATTATTCAGAAAGATCTATTTACGCATCAGTCATTCACCCCTCCTCCGCTCTCACAGCCTTGTGATACTTGCCAACTTTCATGCTGGTGGCGAGATAATACAGCACAACTCTCAGCGTAGCCATGGGGCCACTGGCCTAGACAGAGATGCCCCCACTGATGTTTTCAGGGAGTGACAAGATCAGTATTTTTACCATCATCAAGGGTCATTTTCTTGTGAGAATGCAATGTTCCTCATGCTTGTTTACAGAGGCACTAGTAAGGAAATTACCCAACCGAGGTGCCCAGTGGAGGCTGTTTTGAAATGGTTGTGCAAAACGACAGAAAATTAATCTGAAACCATGCTGCAACAAAACCTGTGAGTTAGTGTAATAGGGAGCAACCTCCTGGGGAGGAGAGCAGCAGCTCTGCTGCCTCCAGGGAGCCAGTGCTTTGTGCCGCACAGGGCTAAGAATGTCTGTGTTCATGCACCTATGGGGGAAACATGGTGAAAAGCATAACAGTATTATGAGGGTAACAGAACACCCAGCTAGAGACAAGGGCACATTTCTCAATGGAAGTTCAGTTCTAATCTTGCACATTTTACTCTGGCACAGCTTTGATAAAGAGGGAATTTCTTACTTCTTTTTCATGCTTTCCTCTCTTTTACTGAGCTGCTTGAGAACTTACATTATATGGAGAACGTGCAAACTATGATTTTCTTGGGGTCTATGAGAACTGAGGGCAGCAGGTACTGAGCAGCACCAAATTTTGCTTTCCTGAGAGCTAACAAGCAGAAAAATATAGATCATATTTATTGTAAGGATACAGACTCAGGTTAACTGATTGCATCTCTGTTAAAGTCACCTGTGTAGGGTAAGGCACAGAACTTGATGTATCAGTGAAGTTACTAAATCATATTTATTCTAGAAAAGGAACAAAACTGTTTAGCAGAAATGCAGTGAAGAAGCTGGATACTATTTCTGCTGTGCAGTTCATCAATTAAACGAGCTCACTTGATGCAAGTTTTGCATTCAGGACACAAACAAGTACTAGCGTGTTTATCTGTGTTGCGTGTCTGTTCTCTAAGTATGTATGAAAGCATCTTTATATGCACTGTTTGAAAACATATTGTGAAACCCAGTGTGTATTTAGAGCTCATTTCTGAGACTAATTACAAGGCGCTGGGATCCCAATGAATATCTTCAAGCCCAGGAACTGTCTTACCAGCAGCAGAAGGTAGGAAAAAAAAAAAAATCAAAAAGAGATTTTACAACAACAACAGTAACAAAATTCAAATACCTCTTACAATGAGGTCTGCAGCAGCTGATAGCTTGTCCACACTTGTTTGCACCATGCAGACGTATTTTCCAGCATGCTTCAGCTGGATGCTTCTGATCATCAAATCACCAGCTGAATCCTGCTGATAAAGTAGGGAAAAGTGGTTACAATTACTTTTTAATGAGCGCTAAACATCATTATCACATGAAGGACACTGTGACTAATGGATTTACTTTACACTGGCTGATGAAAACATTAGTAATGCAAGCCGTGGCCTATTAAAATTATATGTGTCTGCCTTGAAGGTAAGAGCGGGAGCGTCCTAAAATTATGGCTCTGACAAGGGGCAGGGGAGCCTGGTTTGGGACCGTTAAGCAGTTTCCCCATTAAAACAATGTGACAAAGCTTACGTAGGGCAGGTTCGCTCTGATTCCTCTTTTATCTCTGGATATCCAGTTTATAGCCTCTCTGGTATTCACATACCCAAGTTGTGTCTACATCTATTTCACAAGTGAAAACCAGCCCAAATTATGAGACATCTGCAATAGTTTCATGGCTTTGTACTACGGCCAGCATTTTGATTGCCCGGCGTTTTTGTGCTAAAGATCATGAGAACAGCACTCTCCGAGGAAATCTTGTATCACCTAACAGCGGTAATTTGTTTTCCAAACGCCAAGTGCATGTCTGATTAACTGTTGAATAGAACTAATTAGGTTTCTGTACGTACAGGAAGCTGAAAACTCTAAATTCTTCTCGAGACACAAAGCATTCAATATATTAGAAATCTCAGAGTACCCTTGTGATTGTGGCTTTCTAACTAAAGAATATTAATAAAGTTTGCAATTTTAGCTTTGCAGGCCAATCAGGCACAGCCGCCAGAAAAATCTGTTGCTGCTGATGTGTGCCATAGGCACCAATCTTTAAATGCATCTTTCAATGATTTTTGTAGGGATAACAGCAAGGCTTGTAGATTGTATTTCCTTTTCCTTTCAGCATTAAATTTCACTCCTGACAAAAGGAAACACGTACTGCCAGGCTGCTTAGATCCAGCAGAGCATGTGTCTCTATAAAACCTCCCTCAGAGAAACATGCAAAACCTCTTCCAGTTTTCTACCTCCAGCAGAGAAAATCAAGCAGGGAGGGGCCATCATAGACACCCTTACCTTGCCATGGGCTGTCTCATCCTAAACCTCCCTGGAAAGGCAGAAAATGACAACTTACCCAAGCAGATTTTCCTTTCTCCTAACAATGGAAAGTAACTCCTATCTACATACTACTTCTTCTCCATACCTGCCACTTGATTATGACCTTGAGCAACAGTGTGGCCAGGGCTGTACTTAATGGGCAGTCTAACCATCATTTCACATCTGACTCTTCTAGCTATCAGATTCCCATGAACATAGAACCATAGAATCATAGATTCAACTAGGTTGGGAAAAGACCTTTTAGATCATCAAGTCCAACCTTTTCAACATTCCAATAAACAATTCTCTGCACATTGCACAAGTTTGCATTGTAAGTGGGTACCAATGGGCTTTTCCATAAACACACAACAACCCAAAGATACCAGTGTGACACTGCCAGGGACTGTGCACAGATAATACTGAAAAGAAATGTCATCTCTGATGGTTGGTGATACCACGTGGATTATTTTGTGTTGAGGAAAATACTTGTTCTGAGCATGGGGTCACAAGAGGAGGACACAGATAGGCATGCCAACAAACACTGCCTAAACAAATTTGAGGATATCCTCTGATTTTTCCACTATTTTCTGCATAAATACAAAGTTCTACAACTGCTATATTTTACATTTCTTTTATTGTTACAGCCAGAGAAAAACTATTATAGACTACTTCCTTGATGAAAAGGCATTTAGTTTTGCAATGAGAAAACATATTACAGGTCTTCTGACATACATTCCACTGCAATGTTAACACATCGTTCACATGAGCAGATTTTAGTTAATGTCATTAAGAAATCATAAAAATTCTACACTAACTATAATGAAGTAGTATATTGGCAATATTCATCATCTCAGTCTATAAAACACAAGATAACATCTACTATCAACTTAGGCAAGTTCTTTCCTTCTATTAGGAGCTCTTTTTCTATGTTCCTTACTTTTATTACTGCAAGGAGATTACTTTAGTATTAATACTTACCCCTCCAACTCTTTCAAAGTGATCCCCATCTTTTTCGAAGTCTATCAGGTGTCCATTAAATGACCAGGTAAACATGATATCTAGTGAGTGATCATGAGATACCTGACAAGGCAAGACAATACTTTCTCCAACAGTGACATCCATGCTGAAAGGTGACACCATAACCCTGGTCGGATCTACAAACAACAAAGAAAAAACAGGGGAAAAAAAAGCATTAATCCTGTCCTCCTGAGACATGGAGGGACATGCAGAGCTGAGAAAGATGCTAAGCAGTCTACCGCAACTGCAGCATTGCCACCAGAACTTGAAAATTTCCAGTAATCACTTAGGAAGATCCTTAATGCAACAAGCAGCAGTCACATCTCTGATTTTATCCTCCAATACCATTCTCTAGTTGTTGGACTGAAATACTATCAATAAATCCTCCAGAATCCTCTTCTAGCCACCATCCTGATGAACAAGGAAGAAAGAAAAGGCTGGGAAAGAGCGCAGCAGGTCTGAAAGGTTTGGTTAATTTTTATTTTTAAAGCTTGCAGATCAGAGATGATTTTATTTGAATCTTCTTACTTCAGAGATTTGTTTCACAGTCCTACATTGCTCTCACCATGCTCATAAAAAAAAACCTATTTTGTTGTTCCTAAAACAAACAGTGCCTTAAGAAAACTCTCTCAATGTAAAATTTCCAACACTGGAATGAAAAAGGATATATTAAAAACACGAGTGATATCTCCTCAGACCTAGCAAGAGAAAGATAAGATTAATAATATTGTTTTATGTTATGTTTATTGAAAACTTGTTTAAATACTGGCCATGTTCTCTGGTGGATGGTTTTATGTTTTAAATCCAGGTAGTTTTTTTTTTGTGTGAGGGGGGCCCATACAAAGCATAAACAATGAGCAATACCAACCAAACCTTTCACACCATGGAAGCCAAAAGTTTCCCCTCAATAAGGCAAATCCTGTAGTAATGTCAGACAGAGAGGTGTTGGGCTAAAATTTGGCTCTGGGTGTAGTAGCTCCTCTGACTAATGTGTAGCCTTTCTGACTCACTTAGCAGGTCAGACTGACTCACCTCTTAGGACCTCCGTGGTCTTACATGGGATGTCACTCACCTGTTGAACAAGAACTGAGCAAGGATTTTGGGGAGGTGAAACAGAGGAAAGGTGAGAACAGGCATCGTCCTAAACATGACATTACCAAAAGGAAATCCCACAAATCTGTGGATACCTGTGATGTAGCAAGTTCTGTCTGTTAAATGTGGGCAGCAGCACATACCAGTTCCATCTTGGGCTTCAGGACTAATCTCTTACTCACAGCTGGAGTTCTATGGATGCTTTACCACTGGTTTAATTTTCTATTTTTCACTTTAGTCCTGCATTACAAGCAAAATGGTGGCACAGAAAGATGAGCCATGATGCATTATGCAAACTTCAGCTCCTCATCTGTGCTGATGAATTCCTCCTGCCTCTAAAGTTAACATTTCTCTTTCATTTCTGTCGACAAAAATGCAGTAATTTTTTTCTACAGGGCCTCAGAGGAAATGAAAAGGAGACAAAATGTTGCTTAACAATGAGACCAAAAGTCTGAAAATCATATACAGATATTTTTGCTTATTCCAAAAGTCTATTCTGCACAGCTGTCATACTAAAATACTACAAGCATTATTCATTCCCTGGTATATGAATCCAAAATCTTAACTACTTCTTCCAGAGACTACTGGCTGACTACTTAATTCTCTGCTAAAATAATAAGGATACAGCAACAAAGATATGCACTGGGCAGAACGACTCACCGAAATTAAGGGAATGCGAAGGTGCTCATGGGTTTTCAAAGACCTTACCAAAAGTGTACAGGAGGTGCTGAACAAGTTTTCATTGCTGTGTCTATAGGCTTCAGATCAAGTCCTCAGGGACTTGGCTGTATTATCTTGGACAAATTTAATTCATCTCTATTTTGGTTTAACTTCTAACAAAATAGAGTATCTCTTAGCTGAACCATACAAGGTGCTATGAGGCTTAACTAATTAATACAAGTAAAGCATCTGACATTTCTAGGTATAAGCACCGTAACGGCACATTACTAAATTAATGTTTAATTGTTGCCTAGATTTATGAGACTGTTTTTGTATAACCACTGTATCAGGATTTTACAGTCACCTAGGTCTGCTACTCCTGACACTCAGGAAGACCCGGAGCATCCCAAGCTCACGATGTGACAGAAATGCCCGTACCTGCAGTGGGGTTCAGGCATGGAATCACTTACTTAAATTCCTTTCAGCATCAGAAGTTCATCCTCTGCGCTGCTCAAAGCCTGTATGAAATATTTATGAAGGAGTTGACTCTGAGATGAAATGGGTGCCTCCCACAAAGCCCTAAGCTCTCCCACAAGTCCCACAATGATCCGTGTAAGCTGTGGTCCTTAACAAGTGGCAGCACCAAGATTTTGCTGTAGCTAACCTTCACATCCACAGCACTTCCTGCAAGAAGTGAGAAGTCCGCACCATAAATCTGATTCTTCCTGCTGCACTACATACAGTTTATAAACGTATAAAGAATGAAACATGGGTGTTTGCTTAAGCCCTGGTTTCCAGAGAGTTTAGCACAGCTCCTATGGATGTCGTAGGAACTGCAAGTGCCTGCTGACTCTGAAAATCAGGTGCCCAGGTTTCAATCCAGTCATGTCAAGAAGCATTGCAACCTAATAACTGAACATACTGGGTTATGGGAATGGCTGATACAGCAGGGTGACAAATGATGTGCAGGGAGAGGGCTCTGACCCAAGCCATGCTCAGCAGGAGCGCGAGCCCCAGCAAGGCACTTTACAAATCACCCCAAGGAGAATGCTTACCCATCTCTTCTCAAGGACTGGGAGAGCTCAAAAACAAAAACATCCCCTCCCCCTCTTTAATAACCCTAGCAGAGCAGCAAGAGGAAAATGTTATTCAGAAGCCAACTGAGGGCAGCTGAGTGCAGGCACACCTTGGAGATACACAGCCAAGTGGTAATCAAATTATTAGATCTGCACTTTCAAAAGCTGTAACATCAGGCGCTTTTTAAATTATGGGGAGTGCTTTAATGACACCAAAACGTTGGTGAGCATCAAAAATAAATTAATAAATAAGGGTTGGTTTTTCTGAGCTAGCCACTCACTTATTTACCATCCACTTGCAAGGCAGGAGAGGCAATCTAGGGAGACAGAGTCTGTGGGAGAGCTGATCTTAATGCTCTGTTACTGCCCTGTCCCCTCGAAGTATGGATTATTTTCCTTAGATGTCTTTGTTTAGTAAAGGTACTATTGCCGAGGGCAACTAATGAAAAGAAATGATTGTGATTTCGGTGATATTTTGAGGTGATATTCACCTTCTGGTGCATTTTGAGATAGGTTTAAAAATAAGGCTGAAAGATTCAGTTGCAGATAGGGTTATAATTTCTATTAGTAGCATCACCCCTTACAGCTCCTGCGGGTTTTTGAGCCCTCCACAGAGGGAAGCAGCGCCTGGTGCTTCTCAGCACTTCTGTGGAGAGAAGAAAAGCAGGCAAAATTGTTCTGGGTCTCTTCTGAGGAAGTTCAGCTGGCATTACCAATAAGTTTTTAGAGGAGAAATACATGGATAGTGGATGCCAGCAGGAACACTCTCAGGGGGTGAAAAGACCTGCATCACCAGGAGGCAAAATAATCCGGATTTTAGTCTCAAATAGAAAAGAGGAAAAAGACCCCAAGTACACTGTACGTGCAAGCATATTCACTAGGTGTTCTGTAGGTACAGCAAGTGCAGATGTGAGTGAGTTTATATTGGCCTGAGCTTGGATTTGCTGCAGGGGAGACCTATCCTGAAAAACACCGATGGGGCAGGAGTGCAGCAGGGCTTATGGCCGGCGCTGGCATGTAAACCCAGCAGACTGGTTAGAGCTTGTCTGTAGGTGTCACTGAAGGCTCAGGGAAGCAGGAAAGCTCCCTCTCAGCCTTCCCTTCATACCCACATTTTCAGGAGCACACTTTTTGTGTTACAGAAATGGCACTCTTTCATTTTACGTGCAGTTTTCCTTGCATGCCAGCCAGGCTGGCAGCTTACAGCTTGCTGCTTGTTGTCAGAGCCAAGATGGTTTGAGCAGTGCGAGAACCCATGGGGATGGTCCTCAGCTGGGGTAAACCAGCATGGCTACACCGGGATAGCTCCGGACACCACTGTAATTCCTAGCAGGGCGCTCTGAGGCTATCTGAGCTTTTACCTGTTTGTGTCCTGCATTATATCCCCTAGTTTTATCGCTGCAGCATACTGCAGACAATTTGGTGTATTTCTGACTGATGGAATGTGTTTGGTTTATGTTACAAGAGATTTTAACAAAGTTTTCTGCTAGCTTTCAGTATATGTTAGGAGAATTGAAGCTGAGCAGCATTCCCCTTCTGAAGAGAGGCTGTAATTGCTCTGCTTTTGTCTCCCACCCCCTGCTAAAAGGAGCCCGTCATTAGCTATGAGTGCTGCCTGCATTTTGTGTCTCATTTTGGGAAGCTGCAATGCATTTCTGAGCTGCAAACCAGCAGGCTGAAGACATCGTGGATATGGTCTGAGAGTAACAATTATCCAATCTGAAAAGAAACCATCCCACCCTGATTTTCTATTGATTGGGTGTCCATTAGAAGGGATTCCTTGTTTAGGGTAAACAGCTTTGCATCGCTGCGTTTGCTTGTTGTAGCTCATGCAGTGCAATGTTGTGTCATATTGATCTGGAGGACATGACACAGTGGGACACAAGCTACAGTGGCACGACATAAGTGACATAAAATGAATCAGAGGCTGACAGTCAGAGACAATGCTTTTTTTTTAGGTCAGTCCTGAGCATGCGAATTTCTTTTGAATGCTGCAAGAGGACCAGGGCAAAGCAAGAAGCGATGTCACATATATTATGCCCATCAGCAAGATTTCAACTGACTGGAGAGTTTCTTACACCTAGAGACAGGCAGACCTGTCTGCTTTAGATGGCCACTTGGCATCCTGTTTCCAAATGTGCTCCTTTCCAGTTTGGCTCAGCTGTGACGGCTGTGTGCTCTGCTCCACAGAGAAGGGATTCAGCAACGCAACAACTGCAGTGCCTTTCATTTAAGTGCTCAGTAAACAATGAGATATACTTTGCCAGCCCCGGATGCTGAAGGAATAGAGAGTATTTTACTACAATAAA